AAAAAAGAAGCAACAGAAATAAAAAGGAAATACAAAGAAAAAAGTGAGACAGAGTTTGTTTGTTTGTTTGTTTTTTTCTTCCTCTTTTTTTCTCGTGAGTTTCCTGGGTCCATAGACTACCCACACCCACCATGACAAGCCCACGCATTTTTTATACTTCTTAACCACGCATACACAGACTTGGATATGTCAAATCATAAACAACGAAACATTTCTTTTAAATTTCATTCAAAAACAAAAGTAGTTGTTTAAGGAAAAAAGAAAAAAATTCAAACACAATCAACGTCGACGACCCGCTGCAGACACATCACGCAGCAAATCCCTCGATAAATCGCTCATGCGCTGAGCTTTGGAATCACGCAACTTTTTCACCTGACCCAAAGCAGTCTCATTCTTAACCTCCATTTGTGATTCATACACTTTTCGAAGAGTTATCTCTAGATCTTTTGCCCAAGCTGCAATAGGCAAAACTCGGACCGGAGCAACCTGTAGAAATGAAGAGAGAATTAATGCCTCGGGAAACAGAAAATGCTCCATTCTTTCCGAGTTTACTACGGTCTGTAAGGAGTCATGTAGATGAGTGGTATGTGAGATAGCTGAACCGGATCCACGTGTCTGTATACATTGTAGTAACACTGGGGCTATAGAACGAATTACAGGTAACGTTGGCAGTGAATCACCACTGTATGAATCAGACAATAAAGTTGGTAGTGGAAATTGTTGTTCAAGATTTATTTGAGCACCTTTTGCTTTTTTGGGTTTTGGTGCATTCGCCAGACGCATATGGTGGGACTCCAGCAAGGCAATATCATGTAATAATATTAAACTTCCAAGTAGTTGACATGTATGTTCAATGCGTTCCATTCTACTGGGCATATCAACCAATGTATCCGTCAGCTCCTTTACCTTGTCACTATGGATGTTACCAAGCACCATGGACCGTACCACTACCCAATCTGTATTATCTGTTAATTCCAATACCTCTGGTGATTGTAAAGCCTTATAGGCATCTGCTATGGTACCTGATTCCGCCTCCATGAGTTCACATATAGAAGACCGTGTTTGACATGACCGTAGTGATCCTGCTATGCGGTGAACACTGCAAATAACTCGTCCTAATGAATTTGTTTGTCGTCTCTCATACTCCTGAACATCTTTCATAGCTGACCAAGACATGTAGAGAAAGACCTTGGAACGAAGTAGACTACAGTCTTTTTCCAATGTATTATAGTGACCCCAGGCGAGTTCATTCCATTGGTATATCTCTTCCAATGCACCTCCAGTTACAAGTGGCCAGTAACCAATATGAGACATGGTATCATGTTGTACACTCTTAAAGGACAATTGACGCCATGCATCACAATCGGCAAATCCCAAAATACGAGCAAAACAGGTAGCAAACATTAACCACATAGGATTGTTTAACTTGCGTTCCACCTTTTCCAGTAATTCCAGTCCCTTTTCCACCCACCTCTTTTCTTTCGTAGCATGATACAGGTGTAAAATAATATTAAGAGCCACAGTGATATAACCATCGCAGAGTCCTTCCTCACTCCATGCAAGATGCGTAGAAAGAGGTTTGGCCTTTTCATACAAATCCCAACATGTTTGTAAAAGATCTTCTACTGTAGCATCATCTGGTTGATTATCTCTTCCTGTACCCCATAATGCTACATGGCAGCGCAGACCAAGAATACGTTGAGTGTGGTAATGAAGACTATTATTCCCTGTTTCACTCTCTGTTTCTGTTTTTGACCATAAATAAATAGCAGCAGCTGAACTCTTATCTAGATATGTTGAAATGTCTAAAAAGCAGCAAGCGATTTTATAGAAACGCTGAGCGTAGGTGAGAGTGGCTTGTTGAAGTGCACTCATTGAACCTTGACGTGAGAGAGTTTCCAATTCTGCCATAAATGGACCACGACAGGGTCGTCCATTAGGCACTTGTAAGATTTTATTCTGTAAATCTTTGCAGAAACGGAGTGCATCTGTTAATGAACAATCCACATTAGATAGTTCTAGCGTAATACGTCTTTCTTCTGGTCCATCCAGTGTCAAAATACCATTTCCTGTATTTGTCTCAGATAATGTATTGAGGTATAATTCCACAAAAGTCCAGTTATCCGGTTGGCAAGACCAAAGATGTTTTGCCACAGTGTTAGCTTTCGCTAATTCCCCATTTAGTTGTAGAGAAGTTGCTAAAAGTTCTAGTCGAGTATCTGGAACACCTACTGAGACTCCTCTCTCACTACATAGAAACTCTACAGCTTCATTGTACAACTTTTGTTGATGGAGCACCTCAATATACATCCGACACGTAGATGGTGAGATGAGTCCGTTATCTGTTAGGATTACATCCTTTAACAATCTAGTAGATACTTTCAACAAAACATGGTCAGTAGAGTCTGGTGGAACTCGAGCGAGATTTGCCTGCACTACCCATACCTGATAACGAGGATCATTCCATTTACGATGAAGCTGTACTGCACTCTTCTGCACCTGGTCAAAGGCTCCCATTCGCACATACGTTTGAAGCAAATTTTCAAGTATATTCCTCTCGTTAGGACCTTCTTTCATGCGATCATATGTTTGTGCCAACGCCACCCAGCTACAACACTGCTGAAGAACATAAACAAGAGCACTCAGAGCCTTTCCATCCGTCACATTCTGTTGGCTAAGCGCCTCTGCCTTCTCCCTGGCCTTCTCTGCTTGGCCCTTCTTCAGCAGCAACAACGACTCCGCTGCTAACAATGCGTGGCTGGTGGAAAACTTGGGAAGTGCGTCCTCCAGCGCCCCCTCTGCCAATCCCAGTTTACCCGCATCGATGAGGTCAAAGACACGTGTAGCGGCCCGGTCAACAGCCACAGATGACATTTCTTGTTGTTGTTGTTGTTGTTGTTTCTTTTTTTTTTGTTGTTTTTCCACCTTTGATTTCACACAGTTTTTCTTTTTTTTTTTTTTTTTTTTTTTTTTTTTTTTTTTTTTTTTATTACCAATTAGTATGTTTTTCTTTTTCCTTTTTTTTGTTTTTACTTATTTGTCCACCCCCCACTTTCTTATACAAACTACAGACTAAGATGGAAAATGAAAAGATAAAATAAAATAAAAAAGAAATGAAGACCTGCTTGTACACATTATGAGAGGAAATGTTAAATTATACACCTGCAAGAGGAATAATAATAATATTAGTATAAATAATAATAATAATAATAATCATAATAACAATATTATAATAATAATAAGAATGATAATGGTAATAAAAAGAAGATTATTCCAGGCCTTACTTTCTCTCTTTAAGGAAGAGAAGTAAAGATACCAATCAATCCACACAGACACACAAACAAAAACATAAACACATAAACACAATCGCCCATGTATTTCATTTAGTTTCACTGCATCCCTTTAACTCCACGGAGGGAAGTTTACAAACCGAAAAGTGGAAGAAGTGCCTCCCGCAGGGCTGTTGTATTTGCTCCAGGAAATTCCCGCAGTGTGTTAAAGTCAAGGGTTTGTAGTTCTTTGCAAAACTCCCAAACTTGCAGACAAAAGAGATAGTGAGATGAACTTAACGCCTCTGCAAGTTCAACTTGATGATCTACCATGAGAGAACGATTGGGTACTACAATTAATGGGCGTTTAAACTCCAACACCTCAAGTATCGTACCTGCACCAGCGTGAGAAATAACCAAAGCCGCATCCCTTATCATCTCTTGTAATTTAGGGCGGTATGAAAATACCTCAATTGTAATTCCATGTGCATTACTCAATCGTACTTCATGAGAAGATGCACCTTTTTGAATAAATAGTCGTTTTATACCTAGTTTGGAAAGTGCTCTTAAGACTTCATCATCATCTACAGCTTCAATAAGGGCATTAAATTGTGTAGATCCCACTGTTACTATAGCAAATGGTTCATTATTAGATGAGTGTTCCGCTAATTGTTGAGGTGTTGTTAATCGTGGCATCTCCTCTTCATTCTTTGCGGTTCCCACAAAGAAGAGAGATCCATTTCGTCCCCACCGTCGTTTCATATATGCATCATACAATGACTGCCAATGAACTGTCCAAACATCACAAAAAGGAATTAACAAACGTCCTGAAAGAGATAAGTGATATACACAGGTGAAAGACTCCATAAAGGCAATAGCTGGGCGTCTATAATACCACGATGGTGAGAAGAAAGCAACGAGTAATGCCGTTACTACTACCGGTACACATACACCAGGTCCATTTACTAAAATAACGTCTGGTTTTTCGGATATGATAAGAAACAAAGACCACCATATCGCCCGAAGAGTTGAGAAGATGGAAAGAAAATAACTCTGTCCAACTTCACGTGCACGAGGTATATTATGTAATCGGCAGCAACGTCTAAAGTTAACAGTTTCGAATTCCACAGCTATACTTGCAGAGTGTTTATCGGTTTCAGATACAACGTAAAAAGGACGGTTGGCTCGCCACATATCTAGTGATAAAGCCTTAATAGCACGCATCATCTCACTTGTGTGTCCACCAGAGCCCAACACAACACAGACATTAAGAGGTACACTCCCACCGCGGTATCGAGAGATTGGTGGTCTTCGCACCATTTGCACAAAACGCCATCCCAGAATTAACAGGAATCCCAACAGCAAGAAGAAAAATAGTATCATGGCCCACTATAATAATAATAATAATAATAATAATAATAATAATAATAATAATGTACACTTAAATTAATGATAGAATAAAGAAAAAGGAGTCAGATGAAATTCAAAAAAAAAGGAATGAATTCAATCTTATAAGAAATGGTAATTATTTTTTTTTTACACGTATAAGAAAAAAAAAAAAAAAAAACCTTAAAAAAGGAGGGATTAAAGAAACAAGACATCTGCATTCTTGTGAATATCATCTCACATGATGATAGCAATCATTACAAATATACACATACAACTTTATGTGTATATTGTTTATCTTCATAATGTAGTTGCTATTAATGATGGTAATAGTAATAGTAATAGTAATAGTATTCATTACTCTCAATCTGATCCCTTTTTACGACTAATCCCGTTCACGTTTCTTTGCACGTTTAGGTGGAATCCAGTCGTAGTGCACAAGTTGCTGTTCCTCCAGGGAAGCTCTAATGCCCAGTTCATCCCGGCGTAGTGCCCCTAATCCACCTCTCCCGTTGTCTAAGTTCTGCCGAAGAACATCCACCACTTGTCCACCTTGCGCACCACGCCCCCAACGCCGCGACTCATCGCAGCCAACATCCCACGAGACTGTAATGATGCGATCATCTAAGAGAGTTCCATGCAAATCATTCACAGCACTTACGGCCGCACACTGCTGTTCATATACAACGAAACAGAAACCACAGGGAGTACGTGTGAGCTCACTGAGGCCCACTACTACATCCCGTACATGTCCACAAGAAGTGAAATGCTCCCAAATTTGTTCTTCCGTTGTGTAAAAAGATAAATTCCCCACATACACTGTTGTACTCTTATTTAACTGCTGCTGTCGTCGTACCACAAATTCTTTTTCAGGAAGAAGTGAACGGAGTAATTCGTGACGGTCCACATAAGCCATACGAGGCGTCGTATCCACAAGATACTCCGCCATCTTGATGGTCAGAGTACTTTTCTCTAAAGTGTACAATAATATATATATATATATATATATATATTATATGGATGAGAAAAAGAAAATAAAAAACAAGAATGGAAAAGAAACAGGGAAAGAAAAGAGAAATGTCCTTTCAAACACATTCACATGTTCTTTTTTTTTTCTCCTTCTTCCTTTTTCCTTTTTCCTTTGAAGACCAAGACCACCATTACCAAAACTATGGGTCTGGAGGGGGTGTCCAAAGAAGAAAAGGAAAAAAAAAAAAAAAGAAACAAAACACGACTGAGTAATATAATAAAGCCTGGTATTATTCTAATATTCATATAAAAGTACTGCGATCGATGAAAAACATCACATAGTCAACAAGAAGGTTTTTTTAAAAAAAAAAAAAAAAACTCAAAAGAAAAAAAAAAACAGGCAAAGAAAATGCAAGAAAAGAAGATAAAAAGGAAAAGAAAAGAAAAAAAAAAAAAACGCAAATGCTAGAAGACATATACGCAACACATTATATTTGAAAACCAATCCTATTCACACTGGCTCCTTTTCACCTGCAGCTTTTCTTTTCGCCAAATACTCTTTATATCGCTCTCCTCGTTCTTGTTGTTGTCTTGCCTGGTTCTGTGCGGCATTCCCCCTCCCACCCGCCGCCGCGGCCGCATCTCCGGCGGCAAACCCAATGCCGTCAGTTTCTAATGCTGTGAGTGGGTGGCCCAGGGCGTGGGTGACGATGCGGTATCCATCCTCAATGCGTTGCCGCACCGCCTCGTTCATGGCATCGTCCGGGTTGTGCACTTCCACCCCAATGAGGAAGAAGAGACGGTCCACGACTCTCGACAGGACTAACACAGACACAAATGGAATAAACATGGGGATAAACTGATTAAGCCATGAACCCAACACCAAACTTACATCCATATTGCGACGATAAACATGACCATACATCACATCAATATCCTCCGTCGCGAGACCGGCAATTAATAAATAATTAAAACATAAGGGCATTATGAGACGCGACAAGAAAGTGGCACTAAAGCAGAGAGATGCATTATCAGAAATACCAGGAAGTATAACATACATGTCAAAAACTTTAAATTGCAAAATAGCCCAGTATGAACAATAAGCCATATAGAACATAAAGATCATTGAACCAGACAATTCAAAATTACTCTCCACCACTAAAGCTATTACAGATAAACGTTTAGATGTTAATGGTTGAAAAGGAAGTACGAGTTCACTCCATAGAACGAGAATTGTAAGGATACTTGTACATACTGCAAATCCTTTAAAAACTACACTACGTATGGAAAACCAGATTTTTTTTATTTGATTATTTGTAGAAGATGAACCATGTATTAATTCATCATATGATTGACATTTTCGAATTGTAGATTCCCATAGATAATTCATTCGTTGTGCAATCTTTATTGAATATTTCACACGTGCATTAAGTTCTTCCAAATGTGGAAGAGAAACATCTGTATGATTCGTTTGTGATGTAGGTTTTAATCGTGCACTTGCAGAATGGTATTGAGGTATTTCACGATCAGCTGTGGCAATTGCCTCTATCATCTCTGACCAATATATTTTGTGCTCCTCCGCTACGAGTGGGTGAATCATCATCAGTTCTGCCTTTACATCTGCAAGATCCATAGCAGCAATATCCAAATCTTCCTGAATATCTACAATACTAAAATACTGACGTCTAAGCATTCGAACAGCATCGGAATTTCTCCACAACATCATTGGTACTCCCACTAAACCGGCTGACATAAATAATACCAGCAGCATTAGACCCCAAGCATTTGCCAAAGAAATTGCAAGTTTCCAAATATTGGTAAAAGAATCATAAGCACCTTTTAAAAAGGCAATGTATGCGAAAAATACTACAAGTAGAATAATTGAAATAGCATACATTTTAAGATTACTTTTAACTATACTAATTATTTTACGCTTAGGCGTAAAATTTCCCACCTCTGTGTATGATTGTGAGATTGGTAATACACCCCATCCCATTATATATGTTGCACCTACGATAGCATACCAAACACCAATAAGCCATGTGTCTTGTGGTGTAGAAGGATTCGCCTTTGCGTAAAGAGCAGCATTGATATCCACAACAAGTAATGGAAATGGTAAAATAAAAGAACAAAATGCAATGATTATAAATACACGGCAAAATAAAGGCATGCTCTTGGCAGATACCCGTGTATAGTGTCGGAAGATGAGCAGTGTCGCCAGAACCGTGAGGCAAAAGAAAATAATCGTAGAGACGATGTTAGCTGCTGGCATGATTGTTTTGTAATAATAGGTACGGAAAAAGTAACGGTTATTTTTTTTTTTTCTTTTGATTTTCTTCACCCTTGTTGATACACTGAATAAATATAAATTTGTAATACTTGTTTTTGCGTCTGCAATTTACCACACCTTCACTCAGCACTAACAGAGATACAAATACAGAAGCACGGGGAAGCAGACAGACCCTCACAGAGTGACAAAGAAAAATAAAAATAAAGAAGAAAGAAAAAGAGAAATAAAAATCAATAAAGAAGGATAAATAAAAACACGTTAGGAGTACTATGTGACTTTTCTTTTTTTCTTTCTTTCCACATCTGTGTAGGACAGGTAAAACAGATAGATAACTCACAATTACTTTTTTCCCCACTCATGAAGCATAAGGAATAATTTAAAAAAAAAAATAAATAAGAGAAGTCTTGTGGCAGCATACACGAATCCCAAGTCAACTGTAGAAGAAAAATCATGGAAATTCCGTATTTCTCTCCGTTTTCTTTTATCTCTGTTCTTTTATTTTTTTTTTCTTTTTTTTCCTTTTCTTTTTTTGAGTGGTGGTGCATCTTTTCTTAGGCCTGTTCAAGCTTCAGTTGGGCCTCATCACGAGTCTGCAAAACTGAGAGAAGCTCCTCACGTAGAGGATGTGGTTCAGCCTTCATCTGCAGCGCCAGACGAGTCCGCTCCACCGTAAGTTTTGAGAGTTTTTGTTTAAGCTCAGCAGCGCGAGCGTTAATCTGCTTTGGTTGCATAGGTGCCTTCTTGCTGGTTGTGGCCCCATCTTGGCTCTTTGGTTTCGCCTGCACGGCAGCCAACTGCTCTTTTGCCTCCGTCAACTTGGCTGGCAACTCTTCCTCGCTTGTCTCCAGCACTGTCTGCAAACGTTCCTTTTCCTTCATTAGAGCCGCTACCTGTGACTCCATCTCCCGCAGTTCATCCTCCGTGACTTGTTTCTTTTGCTGTTGTTGTTTTCCACCAGTCTTTGGCTTCAAATGTCCGGGGTTCAGTACTACCGCATTCTGCAGCATCTCCTCCATTGCCTTTGTGTCCACTTGGCGGGCACGGGCGCGTAGGGCCTCTTCATTACGTCGTCGCTCTTCCTCACGAGCAGCCAAACGCTCCTCCTCCCGCAATTCACGCTCCAATCGCTCTTCTTCCTGTCGACGCAGTTCTTCTTCAGTGAGTACTGGTTCCTCCTCTTCACTCTCCTCACTTTCCTGCAGCTCATATACAGGCTTTCGGCCCTTTGCAAGGCGATCCTTGTCCTTCGCACGCTCCTCTGAAAGTATAGCGTTTGCCCGATCTACTAGCGCATTCTCTAGACTTTTAAGGTTGGCCGGGCTGACAAGCTCCGGTTCCTCGAAGAGTCGGTGAAGAAAAGCGCTGAGCATCACCTCATAGTGCTTACTCTGACGAAAGCCATGCAAAAAATCCCGAGTTACTTTTCCAAAAGCGCAGTAGTCCACTTTTCCACTGAGTTCTGCGAATTGGAAAGTATAACGATCAAATCCCTCCTCCATTTATCCTGTTTGACTTTAACCCGAATGTCTTTTTTTTTTTTAATTTAGTTTCCCTTTCCTTCTTCTTGTTCAATCTGCTATTTTTTTTTTTCCGTCACCACTCCCATAGTGGAGGAGTGTGGCACGATCGAAAAAAGAAAAGAAGAGAGAAAAAAAAGGGGATGAAGGAGGGGGTAAGAACATGTGCAACCAAAAAAAAAAATAATAATACATGAAAGAAAGAAAACCCCGACTCATTGTTCTGTTTCTTGCTGTTTTTTTTTTTTTTTTTTTTTTTTTTTTTTGCAGTATTTTTTTTTTTTTTCGTTTTCCTTTCCTGTTTAAAACTTCGTCGGTGGTCGTGGTGGCACAGGACGTTTATCCGGTACTTGTGAAGGTGCTACGGGGGGTGTTGGTCCTGCAGCTGTTTTGGGCACCAATACTGATCCCAACGCTACAGTGGCACCCATTGTGCTATCTTGCACACGGACATATTCCTGGGGCACGGTTGGCACATATCGCATGGCAGTTGCTGGTGTATACGCCTGTGGGTGAAAGGGAACAGGATTGATGACCGGTTTCGCCCCTGTGGTTGCCATATTCTGTGGCGGTGGTGGTGGAGGTACGTTCTGCTGCTGCTGCGTCGTTGCCGCTGATGACAAAGTGCCCGTTGTTGTTGTTGCTGTGTTGGTGGTGCTTGTGACGAGTGGGGGTACGGTGCCCCAGTAGACGTGTGGGACCTCCTCTGCGGCTGCCTCCTCCATGACGCCTGGGAAGAGAAAGGTGTTGTTCTCGTTGCGGGGCGGCTGGCCCCACTGTCCCTCCCCGCTGCCCCACTGGGCGCCCGGCGGGATCGGGGCGTTGAGGCCGGGGACGCGCAGCGCGGGGTACGCCGGCGGGAGGCGCCGCATCGCCTGCATGCCGTACAGCCACGGCGGGGGGGCGTGGGCCGTCATCCCGAGCGCCGCCCGCAGCCGCGCCGACAGCCGGCCGGGCTCCACCAGCGTCCGGGGCAGCCACTTCCCCTCGTGGAAGACATCGCCAAAGGGCGAAAGCACCACGTGGAAGCGACGGCGCGAGAGCGGCGTGCCGGAGAGGAAACACGTCACAAAGGCAATCTGATCGGGATTCGCCTTCTTGTCGCGCGTCGCTCGGATCCGCTCCACGCCGAGGGCCGCAATCTCTGGAGGGACAATGTCCGTCGCCCGCTCACGGTCCGCCTGATTCGACAGGAACGCACGCAGTTGACTCCAGTGGCGGGGAACCGGCACCGTGTTCCGCACAGACTTCATGAGAACCGTGAAATACGGGTCCTCGGCATTCCCATCGTGTTCCGACACAACAGCGGCCACCTCAGGGCCGTAACGCTCCGCCACGGTGAGTTTTAAAGTCTCCCATGAGACCTTTGTGCGGCGACGGGTAGATGCTCCAGATTTCTTCTGCGTATCATTCACATTTACAGAGGGAAGATGTACACGATCCTCATCCTCTTCCTCATTGGCATTTTCATTGTTATTGGATTGTGCCCCATCACCATTACCACTACCAACAACACCAGCAGTAGTAGTTGACGATGAAATACCATCCACATCACTGTCATCATCAGGTAATACATACTCAATTTCTTCATCCGCAGTGGCACGAAGTCGTGCTTGAATTAACCTACCTCGCTCCTTCAGCTCTTCATGTCGCTGTCGTCTTGCCAACTTCTTTTTCTTTGCTATTGACATAATCAATGTATATAAATAGGGAGTATGTCCTAGTTCGCCGTCTCTTCTGATTATGTTTATTTGTGTGTTTTGTTTTGTTTTTTTTTTGTTTTTTCTTTTCTTTTTTTTTTTTTGTTCCTGAAGTCCTCTTACCAGAAACAAAACAAAGAAAAAACAACTACACACCTTCTTTAACGTGGACAAAAAAAATACAAAGAAAAAAAAAGGAAGAAAAACAAAAAAAAACAGACAAATTGAGGTTTCAATAAGGAAAGAATGCATCGTACTGAGAGAGAGAGAGAGAGAGAGCGCTAATAAAGAAGTGACACCCCCAGTATTTTGTAAAGCGCACGTTATACATTCCACAAGGAATATGAAGAGAATAAAAAAAAAAATAAGAACTAAAAACTACAGCAAACAACAAAAACGACAAAAAAAAATACTTTGCTTCTCCATCATACTTGTGGATCATTCAACAACTGACACAATTCTTTGTCAATATGATGTGCCTCTTCACGCAGAGGACTCAATGGATAAAGTGTTATATGCTGCAAGAGCACACGTTGAAAGACTTGAATAAGATCAGCCTCCTCGCGCCACTGGGCACGCAATAGGTGTCTCTGGTACTCAATCTCACTAAGGGTTTCTATATTGCCTTCCCCATTTGGCAGAGAGCTACGCAATCGCATTAGTTCAAGTTGCAATTGACTCACAGTTTCAGCAATTTCCCCCATTACTATCTTTTGATTTCGTTCTTCCTCCTCCATTCTAGACTTTTCCCGTGCAAGTTCGTCAGTAAGTCGTGCAATTTCAGCCTCCTGCATGATCACACGCTGCTGGGTCTCCTTTAAAGATGCAAGCACTTCCTTTGCCTCACGGTGTACTTCACTCCAGGTGGCATCATCCAGTGCTCGTTGTCGCTGCATGCGTGCGGTGATGGAGTTCCGCATGGCGGTGGGAGAAAACACATCCATTTCGATAAGCGCCATTGAAGACGGTGGTGCGTGTTGACCGTCGTTCCACGGTGATAAATTCGTACGGCGTTTATTTAGTAATATCTGCGCCTGCTTTAGTAAATGTTCGGGCAGCCGCCCGTACTTCTCGCGGAGAGTCGCGGTCAACTCCCTCCACTGGCCTTTGTAATTCTGCAGCAATCGTTCTGCCATTGATATTGCCTGATCAGAATTATTTGGTTCTTTCAACAGACAAAATGCGAGTACCTCAGGAAGTACATAATCCGCTGAAGAATATAGGTCCGTAGGATCTGTACCGATACAAAATAGTCCTTCTGGCCTTCTAGATGAACTTTTGTATTCCATTTTTTTTTTTTCTTCTTAAAGAAAAATGGAAAAAAAAAACTTTTAATCAATGAATTTAGATGTACCAAGAAGGAAAAAAAAATAAAGTGAATTACTCAACTTGTGTCTTTGTTTTTCTTTTTCTTTTATTAGTAGTAGTAGTAGTACTATTATTATTGTATTTCAAAGGTACAAAACACATTTCAGTAATGTCAGCAACATCTATATATTTTTTCTTACACTTCGTTGAATCGATGTGATCATGTTGCCTCTTCCGGTAGAATGTGTATGTTTTCATTCTTTTTCTTCTTCGTTTTCTCATTTTTTTCTTCACACGTACCTCAACGCAAAAACAAAAAAAAAGAGGGCATAATAGCACCTATTCGCTCTCTCTCTCACTCTCACTCACACACACAGACACACATATATATATATATATACAGACTCCTTCTTTTTATAAAGACTAAATCACCACTTCTAGCTATCGAAACCACCAAAACCACCACCATCAAGGCCCTTTCCTCCCTCTCCCATATCAGAAAAAAACAGAGATACAGGTAATATATATTTCTTTATTTTGGTTTGGTTTGTTGTTCAGGATTTTTTTTTTTTTTCGTTAGTGTAATTTATTTCTTCCTCGTCTATCTTTGAGTTCGTTTGGTCGTCCTACAGTGGAAAAAACACGAAACAACGTCATTGTTTCAATAAACTGTTTTAGACAGTCTACAGAAAAAATAAAATAAAATAATAATAATAATAATAATAATAATAATAATAATAATAATAATAATAATAATAATATTATTATTATTATTATTATTATTATTATTATTAAAAGGGCTATTTCAGCAGTACCAGATGTAGGAACGAGTACCTCACAATTTCCTTTAATAGTTTCCCTAGTGAATCATTTGTGAACTCACACTGGGAAGGAAATAACACCATGAAATGAAAATATGAAACAAAAAGAGATTGATAATGTCTCCTTTCAGTAATTCCCATATACACCTCAAAGTAGAAGAAAAAAAAAAAAAAACCCTGCCCATTTCTACTGTACTTCCCACTAATAGCTACAAATCCATTCCCACTGATTCCCTTTCAAGCTCCCGAAAAAAAAAAAAGATGAATACACAGTACCAAAAGAGAAAGAAAAGATAGATAGAAATAGAAAAAGATCCCAATCATCACTACTATTACTAGTACGTCTACTACCACTTCTACTAAATACTACTACTACTAATGCTATCCACTAGTGTACTAGTATATTTGGGTTCCATGAAGTGTGAGTTGGCCCTTTTCATCCATAACTGCTTCACGACTGGTATTGCAGAAGCCACGTTCATCTACCAGTTCTGTTAAGAGACCAGCGTTATTGTAGTATCCAGCTGAAATGTGTGGTCCCTTAAGTTTTAAGTTCCCTCGTGTATTGGCAGAAAGAATCTTAGCATCAGTCGTTCCGCGATCTCCCACAACTTTTGCCTCTGTGTGTGGTAACATTCCACATTCTCCCCGTTTTAATGAGCGCCATGTAAGCATATAAGCACTCTCCAACGGTCCTCGAAATACAAACACATCATCAAGGCTAAGTTCTTTTGCTAATTTTTGAAGGTAATCTTTACCTACAGGAGGTTCATTAGCATCTTCAAAGAGTGCAATCCATTTAAGATGTTCATACTGATCAGCGTCAAAATTTCCAGTGTGACGAAGTAAAAGATCAAAATCGGCTTTCTTTCCGAGAATACCCTCTACCTCTTCTACACATAATTTTTCAATTCCATTAATTGCATGATCATCTGTAAACATATCACTGTGAATATGTACAAGAACAGCTCCTGATGTTAAGGCAGCATATGGAGCAATAATAGAACCTACCGGATTGGTATGATGATTAGGCATTACACCAAACCGTGTTTCTGCTTTAAGTTTCATAAGTTGGGCGAACATAAATCCAGCATTAATGCAGTTTCGGTGAGAGAAAGTTATATGTAATTTATCCTCTAATCCTGGATAAGAATCTTCCAGTGCAAGAATAGGATCATCCGGGTGTAGTAATGCCGAGAGACGACGAAGACGTTGTTCATAATATGAAAATGGTCCCCAGACAAGCATTTTTCGTAATGGTGTTACCCCAAGTAAATTCATATTATGATCTGTAATAACCACTTTCTTTAAAAAGTAAAATTCCTGGGAGTGTACCCATTGAAACTTCTGTCCTGGATAAGAAAGACCTAACTCAGGAATGACATTATAAATCATATCCCAAAAATGCATATTGCGTTCCACCAAAACTCCCTGTTTCATCTCTGGTACAACCATCCATTCACGAGCGATAAGATGATTGGGTTGAAACTCATTAAGATAAAAACGAAGTTTATCAGCATTTATATTATGATGGGGTACCACTGCCAATAAAGCTCCTATCTTTGCGCAAGCCAATTGCAGTACAAAGGTTTCACAATTGCAGGGTTGAATAGCCAACACTCGCTGACCTGGGCGAAGTCCAGTCTGCAGAAGACCATGGGCAAGGGCTTCACTGTTTTTACGTATATCCGCAAATGCCCAACGTACAGCTTGATGTTCAATTCGCAAAAAGTCTTTGTAGTACATTTTACGGGATTGAATGTTCACATAGTACCCAACAAGTTGATCCAAAACGGGAAACTCAACCGGTCCCTTCGCTTCAGAGTAATCCTTCCCCAATTTTCCACCCGCCGATGCTGATGTAGTAGTAGCCGAAGCCGCAGCAGTAGTAAAGCGTGTTGCTGCAGCGCTAGATAGAGATATGTTCCTCGTTATTCGACGAAGCATTGTTATGATGATGTTGTTGCTGTTGCGAAGTTAAGTATACTTTACGTTATATCCTTTCTCTCTCTCTCTCTCTATTTTTATATCCCTTTTCAACTACCTTCTGTAGCCTCCTCGCGACTGCGGTAAAACAGAGAACTAAAAAGAGGAAAAGAAAAACAAACAAAGAACATATGGGTACCTTTTTGTTTTAATTTTGGTTTTTTTTTCTTTTTTTTGAAAAGAATAAAAGTTAAAATAAAATAAAAAGAAGAACTCAATATTGTGGATACTATATTTCTCTTTCTCTCTCTCTATATATATATCGTTTTTTTTTTCTCTCTCTTCCACACAGACACACACACTCACACACTCACACACTTACCCTCTCTCTCTCTCTTCACATTCACTTCTTCCCAGTACGGATGAGATTCAGCAACGACCGGGTCTCACCTGTTTTCACAGACTCTCTGCACTCTGCAATGAGACTTGTCTTGGCCTCTCCTATTCGCAGTCTTCCTGCTCTCATTATAAAGATGTTAATATGTTTCAATGCTGCTTTCAACGCCGTATAATTATTACACCGTTTCATGTTTTCTCCGATAAGTTCCTTGTCTAGTTCATACAGTTGTGCATAGAATCGTCGCATGCTAACCATATCTGAAATGAGTCTAGAGTCTTCTGCACGAATAAGTAACGGCTTCACACTTGCCGCCGCATCCGCCATATTGCTATTCAGTTTTAACCGTACCGCATTAAGTTCATCCACACGGTCAAGTGTAGATTGAAGTTCCTGCATCTCTTCAGGGAAGTGACAGGATGCCGTGGCTTCACTCACAGTAGATAGACCAAGACTCTCCACCACATCTCCACATACCTCCATTGTTTGTCCACGTATATACAGTTCATGATGATCTGGATGTCCTTCAATAACTAATCCACTATCATCTCGCAAGTCCACTAGTGTAACACGAAAGTCTACTGAAGTATCAGGTGGATTAGAAAGTAGAAATGTTTTCTCTAACCATGTATGCAATTTAGAGAAAGAAAAATCTTCAGATAATTGTAGTATTACATATCCTGTGGGTTCTGGAATTGGATCATCCTCTTTTCCTCTAGGTTGACACATAATAAATCTTGAAATGGTAAAAGAAACCTCATGTATTTGATAATTATCCGCATTTGTAGCACCAACCATTACAGATGCCTTCACTTGTGCTTCCACACCATGAACAACAGCAAAAGAGCAAACTATTGTTGGTTGTGGATCTTCAAGAGTAAAAAACATGTACTCCTTACCAGGAAAGGCCTTCTCACTGTGTAGAACACAACCTTGAATAATTGTATCATGATGACCATGATGTACTGTAAAAACAACATCAAGTTTTCTAGATCTTTGATTCGGTATTAACTTATGTCGTACCACTGTGCCTGCCTGAGGTAATGTTAGATCTGTATCCCCTTTAAGTTGTCTATCTAGTTGTTCCTCTAAACTAAGGAGTTCCGCAGCCAATGCCTCACGTTCTCGTCTCAGTGTATCCAGTTTAAATGTTTCTCGATTACGCAGCACCTCCTGTTTTTCATCCTTTGTGTTTGCCAACTCCAGACCACGTACGGTTCCATCCACTGTACATACAATTGGCAGTGGTTGTCCATTCTGTCGGTAATCGTATGCGAGCACGGCACTAACGGGTGTTGTGTAGGTGTCTCGGAATAACACTCCACGTTTTTCATTATCATCTCCACGCACCTCCACACGGCCGTTACTCCATCCAACGATAAGTTCCGGCACGCCATCAAAGTCAACATCACAAAAGGCGGCGGAGACAGGGCGGTGTTTTCCCTTCACACGCCAGACACGTTCGGTACGATTGTATACACCCACAGTGCCGTTAGCGGTAAGGTAAGCAAATCGACCTGGTGTACCACTATATACAAGTTGATTTACTCTATCTACTTCTGTAATACTAGCAATAGTTTCTTCTCCATCAAATACACGTAATTCAAAATCCTCTGATGCGGCTACTAACACCAGTGGACGTTGTTCATTATCAACAGTAGTAGAAGCTGGTTTGGCGTTACGATGAGAGTTACTCTTCTCATTATTATTGGCCTCCCATGGCATAAGCATTAGGGAAGTCACTTGATCACCTGTTACAGTCCACAATACCTCCTCCCCACTCTCATCAAACCCGTTAATAGTGCAGTTACCACCTACGACGGCCAATGATGCGGGGAGACCGCCGTCATTGGATCCCTTTGTTGTGTTCATCACTCCACACACCACCGCCTGCACACCGTCCTCCACATCCTTGAAGAAATATTCGGTATTACGCTCCACATCATACGCCAGCAGCGAGGTGGCCGCACCAACGTACAACGCATCCACATTTGTTCTTCCCGCCGTATCCCGCACACGTCCCACCGCGAGTGCTGTTGGAGGTCTGCCAAAGTTAAGTGTACGCACGGGATCTACGGCTGTTGTTGTTGCTGCTGCTGCTGCTGTTCCGTGAGTCGCACGTGTGTGGACAACGACACGTTGTGTTCCTGTTGCGCAGGCGAGTGATGGTGTGGTGCCGTCAAAGCGGCCAATTGCGGCCATTCCCTCCAGCAGCGTTGTGCCTAGTTGCAGTTCAAAGGCCGGCCGCATTGGGTAGTAACTAGCATCTGCTGACATGATTGCAATAAGGGGGGATGGGGAAAAGATAAAGAGAGTAAAGGGGAAAGGTTCGTTTATCTATCTTTCTTTCTATACTTGTGATTGTGAAATGTAGTTTCTGTTATTCACAGGTTTATCGCTATGCTATGATGTATTACAATGTTTGTCACTTTCAGCAGTGACTATCTGTCTTCTTTACCTTCACCCTTCCATACATACATACAGTACGTACAGAGAAAAACAAAAAAAAAAGAAAAGGAATAAAAGCAACAAGGACATATTTCTATACACCATCATCCAGTGTATGTACAGATAAAGAAGCATACAAAGACACAAACAGAGATACATATATATATATATATATATATATATAGAAGTAAAAGCAAAAGACAGTAGCAAAATAAAAAAGAACAAATGCATCATGGTGAATAATAATAATAATAATAATAATAATAATAATAGGGAGAATGATATCAACAACAGCATATTCCCTTTGTAATGCAATTCCTTATATCAACAGAGACGTAAAATTTGTACGTTTTCAACATCCCTCACCACATATTCCGAGCAACAAAAAAAGATATATCTTTGATCTGCTTGCAGTGGACTGAAGAAGGGGAAAAATGATGCCTGATAAAAAAAAAGAAAAAAAAAAAAAAGAAAATCTCCTTGCCAGAGTAAAAAGACTATTTGAGGTGAAGAAAGATAAATCGCGTAATATAATTTTTTTAAGGAAAAAGTAAAAAAAAAAAAGGAAAAAAAAGAAAAAGAAAAAATTCAAATATATATGAGAATCATCATTTTTTTCTTTTTCTTTCGTTGCTTTCCAGTATTCGCTTGCTTCGTTTTGTGTTTGCTGATTTGTTTTGAATGAAAGAATAGAGGGTTCGGCGCTGTTTCTCTTCCTCTCCACTGTGGCACGCACAAGAGGACCACATGAGAAGAAAAACATGGAGAGGCAAACAAAGAAAGAAACATCAATAAAGAAAGAAAGGGGGAAAAAAGAGGGAAAATGGAAAAGAAAGTAAAGAAAAATAAAAAAACACGTAAAGTTTGCAAGGAGAAAAAAAAAAGAGGAGGGGGTGGGGGGAAGAGGGAAGGACAGAATCATCTAAGTAAGTACCAGAGGGAAAAAAAAAAAAACTGCAATAGACGTCGGAAGAAACGAAAGAAAGAAAGAAGGGGAATAAAAGGCTACAAAAAAAAACAAAGGGATTCCAAAAAAAAAAAAAAGAAGGAAAGAAAAAAAAACAGAAAATCACACGAAGGAATATATATATATATATCTTACAAATATACTTTTGGATTGGTCTCATTCATTTTTTTTTCTTTTTGTTTATTCACCACACCTTCCATTTGGGTAATTACTAATACTGCTACTCTTAGCACTACAACTACTACTGAAGCAACTTCTACCATAGTTCCATTACTCTCTATTTTCAGATACATACACATATTATATATATATATATATATATATATATATATATATATTATATATACATAGTATGTAACATGGCTTCCTTCATATTTGTTTTTTCGTTCAATTATAAATATATATATATATATATATATATTACTCTACCAGCATATAAATATATTTTTTCTTTACTTATTTATTTCTCTATATATATATATATATATCGTTGCGTTTGTGTTCGTGTATATGATCATCGCCTTTCAGCTACCTGGGGCCCTTCACAAGCACATAAAAGTACACATGAGTACTAATAATAGCAATGGCAGTAGCAACAACGTTCATATCAATGCCTACATAACAGAAAATGGAGATTCATAAAAATAAAATAAAAAAAGGGAAATTAAAAAAGTATTAAACACGTGACCTAACTTAGGTCCACTTCTTTTTTCTTTTTGTTTTGCTTTCCTTAAACTCCAATCTTCTTTCTACCAGATCATTCCACCTTTTGTTTGTTGGTTAGTTTGTTATTTATTCTCTTTTTTTTTTGTATTATTATTTTATTCTTCTTCCTATTTTCCATGTTTTTTTTGTTTTTTTGTTTTTTGTTTTGTTTTTACTTTTTATTTTTGTTTCCATAATTGTTTCCATTCATTTTAATCGCTTTGCTAGACTCATCTTTCACATACTTTTCTCGCTTTTTTTCTCCTTCTCTTTATCTCTCTTATCTCTCTGTTTATCACTTCTGCAGAGTTCTTTGCCTCACCGTACTCCCCAGACACTTCCGATCGGTAGGGCACAAACCCATCAGAGAAAAACGCATACACTCATACACACAAACAGGAGAAAAAGGAAAAGAACTGCAATAGCATCACAAGAACAAAATTACGCAGAAAAAGATAAAAAAAAAAAAAAAAGAATTCCATTTAATTGCCTTTTTTCTTTTTCTTTATTCGCAAGAAAAAAAGGGCAAAAAAAAAAAAAAGAAGAGCACAATAAAAAAGAAAAAATGAAAAAAAAAAAAAAAGAAAAAATGAGAAAACAGAAGAATATCCCTTTTTTACATGAAGACTAAAGGGACAGTCATTCACACATGTGAACAGAGAGAAAAAAAAGGATACACTGAAGCACAAAGACAGACAGAGATATCATCACGTACATACAAGAAGTACAGGAACAGAAGGCTTTGGGGCCCCAAATGCCTCTCCAACCCCACCACCCATTCATAGAGATTACTATTAATCTCAAAAAAAAACACTCAGTATTCGCTCGTCTACCCTTGATATCATTTATTTTTTTTTTTTCTTTCTTTTTGATTAGCCCATCTTTCTTTTTTTTTTCTTTTTCTCGTTCAATTCATATTTTGCATAACACAAGGGGTTCACAACACTCTACACAGAGAGAGAAAGTATCCAATTCAGGAATTTAGACTGGTGGTCCACACACATAAACACTCAGAAAAAGTGAGAGAGACAGAAAGGGGAGGAGAAGGTGAAGAGGATGTTGTGTCTTGTCGTTTCTTTAGGCACATGGCCCTGCCTTTTCTTTTATTCACCGTACAGGGCACCTCGTTAATTTTTTTTTTTTTTTTTTCATTGCAGTGGGGATGGTATGTATGCCATTAGACGACCTCGATCTAAGGCTTTTTTTTCGTTGTTGTTGTTGTTGCTGTTGCTGATACTCCTTTACTTGTTGGTTTTGTTGTTGATATTGATATTGATGTTGTGCTCCGCCTTGTCACTGCACTATTACCCTTCGTATCACTTCGTTCAGTCGATGAGTTTTTTGCGATTTTCTTATTCTGGCTCGTACCGTTGTCGTTGGTATTTCCAATGGAATGTTGTCTCCCTGTTGAACTTCGATGTAATCCATCCTTGTTGCTTTGTTGGGTGGAGTTTTTTTTCCCTGTCATGGGTGCATGTGATGCCATTTGCATAGATGTTTGTCTTTTAGACTCCTGTTTCGTTCCCTGGTGAATCTCCGTTGGTGGTTGTGGTGGTGATGGTGATGGTCCTTTACCCACAATATCATTACTCCGCTCAGGGATAATTGCCAACACTGCTGCTAAACTACTTTGAAAAACATCATTAGGTGGTGTAGATGAGTCTGAGGATGTTTCTTCATTCTCGTTCTTATCCCCATCCTTTCCTGTTGTATCTAAACTCATCAAAGAGAGACAGGATTGTGTGGGACTGACTGTAGATTCCCTCTTCTTCTTCTCCTCTAGAGTAATAAGCCACGGGTGCTCTAGTAGTTCTCGCGCGGCCGGTCGATGTGTTGGATCACTACATGTACAGTGTCTAATAAAGTCTTTAGCCTCTTCAGATATGTGTGATGGAACTTGTTCTTCCAATTTACCTTTCATAATGGCAAACATTACTGCCATATGGTTATCTAGATTCCAAAAAGGTGGATGTCCTGTTAACATTTCCAATACACAGCATCCTACAGACCATATATCCGCCATACAACTGTGACCACTACAAGCAATGACTTCTGGGGCCATGAAATTTGGAGTACCAGCAACACTATCTGTTATAAGTGTTGTTTTTAATTCTTTGCTCGTACCAAAATCACCTACTTTAAGCACATCATTCTCTGTTAGAAATAAATTATCACCTTTAAGGTCACGATGAACAATATGTCGTTGATGAAGGTAATCTAAACCTTGTAAAAGTTGACGAGTGTAATGTCGAGTCTCATCTTCACTAAAAGGACCTTTCTTTTTAAGTTTTTGGGCAACTGTACCACCACTAATATATTCCATATATATCAACAATGTACTAGATGCTTCGTCACGTCTAGCAGAGTAATAACTAATAATATGTTCATTATTTAACTTCCGCATTACACGTATTTCCCTTTCCAATGCACGAAGTTGTAATTCCACATTTTTAGTTATATCCGCCGTTACTACAATCTCTTTTATGGCAAGACAAAGTCCTGTATCTAAATCCACACCACGGAATACATCACCATAACTACCACGGCCTATTCGCTCTTCTCGCCGTACATTCACAATCTTTTTCCGCTGCATCACATCCGTAACGCTGGAGGCACAACGACTTGTGAGATGTCGTTTACCACTCACTTCTGATCCCCTCGCTGGACTATCTTTTGCGATACTGCTATTCATAGCGGGTACTGAAATATGACGACTCGTACTTGAGGCCCTTTGCCTTACCTCCATCCCACAAGACAGACTACAACTATGCACACTCTCTACATCAGAGGTCTCTGTAAACTCCCCTGAAGAGCCGGCGGCGGCGGAGGAGGAGGAGGAAGTCTCCTCTGAGGTGCCCAAAGAATGAAAAGACATGGACAATATGGATTCTCCACCAGCCGTCATTCGGGCTAAACTTGGTGTGGCGGTCTTAGCGGTACCCACACAAAAGGAAGGGGTTGTATTATCCCGCACACTTAAACTAGGGGCCAATTGCACGAGTCTCCCATCGGACTCACAAGTTAAACTCACCGCCTCACTCACATCATCCACCACATCTTCGCTCACTTCACTCCCACTCGAGACGTGCGATAAGGGACGTGGTGGGGGCGGGACACCGTCCAACTGCACGAGTTGCGTGACAGGCGGAGATGTTTTCACGGTTCGCACGATGCGTCTTGGTGTGATGATGCCTGGAGACGTCGGTGAGAGACTAGCCAAGTTTGGGGATACCTCCGGCCGTTCACCATCTACACCGAAGGAATTATTATGCAGGAAAAGATTCCGAGAGGCAGTTTCGTTCCTTGATCGATACATCTCAACTCACAACTAGAGAAAAGATTATTGTTTTTTTTTTTTTCCCCTGTTTTTTTTTTTTTTTTTTTTTCTTTCCTTCCTTCCCCGTTTCTTTCTTCGTTTATTCGTCTGTTCTCTTTTAATTTTCCTTTATATCTTCCTGTCTCAGTACCTCTTTTTTTTCCTTTGTTTCTTCTTTCCTCGTTTCTTCCGATTTATTTAAACAATGCAAAACAGCTTCGTCAACCAAAAGAGTTGCTCTAGTATCACTTGATCAAAACAAAAGCAAAACAAAAAACAAAATAGAAGAATACGCTCCACCAAAACACCACCGTGTAGAGCGTCAAACTGTGGGACTGTTTGAAAGCTTTACTTCCTTACAGCAGAGTGTTCACTCCAGATCACTCCCACTGATAGTCTCCGTATGTGTCTGTGAAATTGTATTTCTCCAGACAAAGAGAGAGAGAGAGAAATACAGAATACGTATTTTCCCACACTAAACGGATCCCAAATACGCTCTTCGCCTTTAAAACCTATTCCCTGGAACGCGAAAAATAAGTTCAAATTACTTTCTAATTCTGCCAATAAAGCCACTACTACAGTCTTCGCAATGGAAACTATATATATATATATATATATATATATATATATATATATATATAGTTGTATTTATTTATTTGCACTGTTGACGGAAGTACTCACTACCTCCCAATTCCTCTCTTCCACTCCCCCACCTATTTTGTTTACCCTCTATTCTACCTTATCACGATTTCCTGCTAAAGAAAAAAAAGAGAAAAAGAAAAGCAAGCAGAAAAAAAAATAGGCAACAATCGTATCATAACTTCTTTAAAAGAGAAATAAGTTCTTTTAATTAATTTCTTTCATTTGTCTCTTAACTTCTCTATCATTCGTTGTGTATGTGTGTTTGTGTCTTGTTCGTTTACTCTCATTCACACTAAGTACTGTCGTTAATCTTTTTTTGTGCTTGAGACCGTGGTGGAACAGTGTAGATACATACAAAGACTATTTAAAACCATTTAAATACTTTCGGAACGCAATACCACATCTCTCCGTATATGACACTTCAACCCTTTTTACAGAGAAGAGAACAATAATAATAATAATAATAATAATAAACATTAAATGTACGAAACATCTGTAGTCACTTTACGACGAAACCACCTTTGCAGAACGCGGTATACTTCCCGTGAACGGTGTGTAACAAGTAGAAACCCGAGAATTAGAAAAGACATACTTTGCATCTATGCCTAATTTGACTTCATGCGCCCTCGTGGCGTTACTCTCCGTTGCGAGAGCCAATACACAAATAAACCACTACATTGAAACATTCCTTCAGCTACCAGCCAGGTTTCAAGAATCTAGACATAGGAGAACAAATACAAGCCTCTACACACAGACAAAACACACACCCACACATACATTAATGTGCATGTGCAAATGTGTATTGTATTCCTTCCGTTTGACACGCCACACGTACCAACAGGAAGTACACCCACATCATGCTCAAGTTAAGACAGAACGGAAAAAAAGTGGAAAAACAAAAGCAAGGAGGAGCAAACAGTAAAGACTCACATACCAGACCTCAAGCGCCTACAGCACATAAATTTGCCTGCTGGTGCAAATGCCACCCTCCGAAATGCACTTCGCCACGCTGTCCCCAAATGAGGGAGGGCCGCAGATCACAGTAGACGTTGCTGGTCTCAGCTCCTCCACCACGGCGGGACCAAAGCGGCCCAAGTGTACCTTGAAGGCCTCCGGCACATCCACCATCTCCGTCAACCGGGTGAAGACGTAGTGCAGGCGGATGGTTCTGCGGGCGGAATTCACTTTCTCGGCGTCATCCTTGTTCTCGCAGGTATCACCGTAGTCCTTGACGAGCTCTGCCACCTCCTCGCGCAGCAACAGCGCCTCCATGTTTTGGTAGCTACACACCAACGTTACGGAAGCCGTCTGGTTCCTTAGCAAGTCCGCGGCAATCACGAAGAGGGGTGTCAGACCAACACCACCAGCAACAAGAAGCACGTGTCTTGACTCCACTGGTTCCTTCTGCAGCAATTCGTCCTTTGCTGCAATCCATAGAGGATCCAGTGGCCCCTTGTACTTTATTGTCTGGCCGCACTCGAGTAAGTGCATGTAGGAGGAAGCCACACCACCCGGATATTTTTTCACATCTATCGTAAAGCTAGTCTCTGTAAATCTGAATGGCGTGTACCTCCCCTCCTTAACGTATTCATTACCAGACGCATCAGGAACCAACACATTGATGTGACCTCCCGGTAGCAACTCCAGAGGAACTGGACACGAGAAGGTGATGCTCTTCACGTCCTCCCTTACCACCTGAATGTCAAGCACAGTGGCCTCCTTAACCGATGAAGGCAGTGCATCTGTCTCCTCAGTAGCGTTGTCCCCGATCTCTGCACCCAATGACGAAAGACGCCCAACAATGTACTCCTTTGCCATCTTTTTCGTGGTCTTACTGTGGATGCGGTCGAATACATCGCCGACCTCTTTTCCAACCCTGGACGTAATCGCTTGTTCACCGCCAGGGTGTGACGCCACAAAGTCTGTGACATCATGCACATTCCCATGAATAACCAAAACCACCCGCTTCTCATCGGCCACCATCCGATGCAAATCAGTTTCGCTGATTTCTTTCAAAGCAGGTGATGTGTTCGCTTCTTTTGCGGGGACCCTCTCTGCCCCTGCCGGTGTACCACTTGCGTTCACACCTGATTTAGCCGTCTCATTTTCTTGCTTTGTGGAGGCTGCGGCTTCTTTGGTCTCATCCTTCTTCCTCTGTGTTGAGCTCTTCGACGCAAAAACCCCCATTTCTACTTGCAATTTGCCAAACTGGGTCTCCACCACCTAGATGCACTCTCTCGCAGTATCGCTCAGCCCCCACTATGGGTGTATGTATGGAATATTCAAGCGAGTGCAAAAGAAAAACATTGCAATGAAAGCAAAGAAAAAGAAGAAACAGCACAGAAGAGAATCACAAAACACACCACCAACACACAAAAATACCACCGGTTTCAACACACAACAGAGGAATGAAAATGAAAGAGATCGTTGGAATACCAAACGATTCCTTGCCGTGACAACACGGTGCCAAGAAGAAGAGAGGGGGAGAAAGAAAGGAAGAAGTGGGGGATGGGGAAAGATGGGGAAGGATCAAGAAAAGTCACAGTCCCTAATCAAACCAATCTCCGCACTTGGCTATTCCCACCCGGAAATCGGGGACAGTGGGACTTCGTCCAGACCATCACTCTTCACATCACTCCAAGGCGGGGGAGTTCCGTAGAAAAGCAGACCCAAGAGGCATCAATGTAGAGAAACCTAACAAAAAAAAAAAAAAGAAAGAAAGAAAAAAAAAACAACAGTTTACACCCCAGGTGTAGCAATGAGAAACGCAAAACTCAGATACGGGAACACAGATATTTCCAGAAACAATTTACACACAAACACACAAGCGACAATCTTACTAGAATCTTAAACGTAATACTTGATAGCACTACAGCCCTCACTTCTTTCCCTTCCTCTTAGATGATATCTTGTCGAATTTGCCATTGGACGCTGTTGCCAGATGCCTTGCTGCGGCAGTCAGATGTCGGACCTCTTCCTGCGCCTGCGTAATGTGCTCTGAGCGGCGCTTATTATGCTCCTCCTTCTTCTTCTGCTTATCCAGTCGTGCCTTCTTCGCTCTACGTTCATCCAAGAACGGGTCGCCGCCCTCCTCCTGCGCCACGTAGCCAGGCCCCACCTCCCGCAGCCAGTCGTGCTTCTCGCGGTCCTCACGGGCGCGCTTGCCCCACTTGTCCTTCCAGACCTGCCGCTCCTCGTCGAACACGCGGTTGCTCTTCTTGCGATTGAGAGCAATGCCCTTCTTCAGCGCAAACTTCTCCCAGGCTGTGAGCGGCTTCGGCTTCGGTGGGGCCTTCTCACGCGGCAGCAGCATCACAGGCTGCGGCAGCTTCACCAACGTCGAGGTGGCGTCGAACTTCCCCCGCTTTGTCACCGTCGGGAGTTCTCGGCACTCATTCAACAGCACCTTCACGGCTTCAGTGGCGGATACGTGCAGGTCCGCCTCCGTACGCTGCGGTCCACTAATAACGGAAACGTTCGTGACGCAGAGGAGCCCAACATCCAAGTGATGCTCGTTCATTGCTTCAGTAGGAGTGTGCGTCCGCGACTTCTCCTTGTCAGACGTACAACAAGAAAAAATAAAATAAAAAAAAAACAGAAAAGCAACGGAGCAAAAGTCAGACAGGAGAAACAAAAAAATAAAGAAAAAAAGTAGTACAACCAACTCCCTGCATACCAGTAAAAAGGGAAGAAAAGAAAAAGAGAAAAAAAAAAGCGAGCAGAGAAAGCACATACACGAGACTCAAATGTCCACGAAAATATACACAATCACTCGCTTTTACTCCTCTTTAAGCTATATATCGTCGCTCAATAAGAAAAAAAAAAACAACGATATCTTTTTTTCATATGTATGCTGTATTTTTTTTTTTTTTTTACCCTTTGGTTTTACACGAGTTGGTCCAGTGGAACTGCCGTTCCACGTTCAACCGTTCCCTCTTCTTTTCCGGCTCCTTCTCGAAGCATTTTTACCTGTACTTCACCGCGGGCCCATTCATCTGGGGCCACAAGCACTGCGCGGACAGCCCCAATGCGGTCTGCATAGTTAAATGCCTGAACCACCTTCTTCTTATCAAGGACGATATCTGCACTTCGTCCAGCGTCCCGTAGTCGGCGAAGAACTGTTAAAGCATGGGTACGCATTGATTCATCAAAGGGAATTACGAGATCATCCACAACATGTGGAATATTAGGCAACAATTGCTTGTCCTGGAGGAGTTCAACAATAACACAATCACCGAAGCCAAAACCAGCACATGGAACTTGTGTTGGGCTTCCGTAGGTCGTGAGCAAGTTGTCATAACGACCTCCACCACAGATAGCACGGAACTTTCCTTCACGGTCAAAACCTTCAAAAACAATACCTGTGTAATAGGCTAGTCCACGCACTACAGTTGCATCGAAGACTACCCAGTCACCATAACCGTATGCCTCAACTTGTGCAAAGAACTGCTTGAGTTCTTGAACAGCATCGTGCTCTTCTCCAAGACGTTGCGCTATTTCATCAATGGACTTGAGAGAAAGAGTACTGGTGATAACGTTTACAACATTAGCATCAAGTCCGAGAGCAACCAACTGCGATATAACTTCCTCATGAGGAAGTTTATCCATCTTGTCCACAATAACACAAACAGGGGCAAATTTGTCTGGAGTAACACCGGCTTGTTCTACCACTGTTTGTAATATCTTTCGAGAGTTAATTTTGATACCAACATCTTTTGAAGTCAGTCCCAAACTCTGCATAGCATCACACGCTGCACATACCAGTTCAACTTCTGCAGATACTCCCTTTACGCCCACAATGTCCATATTCCATTGGTAGTGTTCCCGTCGTCGACCACGTGTGATGGCTTCATAACGCCAGCATTGTGGAATAGAATACCACTTTGCAGGTAAGAGGAGAGATCGACCTTTCCCAAGGAGTAAACGTGCAAGAGATGGTGTCATCTCTGGTCGCAATGTTACACGATGACCACCCTTAGTAATGAAATTAAACATTTGCTCAGTAATTTCTTCCCCAGCTTTACGGATATACAACTCCTCTGACTCCAGTACAGGTGCGTCATACTCTTCAAAGCCAAACTTCTTTGCGGTAGCATGGAAAACATCAAATAAATACCGACGACCTCTCATTACCTCAGGTGGGAAGTCACGGCAACCCTGCACAGGCTCTGTCTCCACCATATTCTTTTGGCTCTTCTTCTTAGATTTCTTGGCGATTGAACCGCTGTCATCCGTGATAATCAAGGCCTCCTTTTCAGCCAGTAATTGCTTCAGCTGCGCAATCTCCGCGAGGATGGCAGTATTGTCAACACCTTTAGACATTGAACGTAACAAAAAGGAAAACGCACGCGTTGTAAAGTTTAATAAAAAAAGAAAAATAGAAAAAAAATCAAGTTTTTTTTTTTTTTTTTCTTCCTTCCTGCTTTCTTTTTGAGGAAAATATATTTTAAAAAAAAAAAAAAAAAAATTAAAAAAAAAAAAAAAAATGAAGTCTGAATTACAATAAAGTGATAATAAACAAGAAAAAAAAAAAAGAAAGATATCTCAAGAATAAGTCATTGTAGACATAACCTATGCATCTGCAAACAGGATATTTTTCACCTTTTTATTAAGATGATAATGCCATCAAAGCAGAAAAGACTTCATTTACTCGTTCAGTCATAAAGATTTGGTGTAACTCTGCATCTACACTTGCTATAGGGCGAGCCGGTCGTCCTTCATATACAACGTAAGGCGCAAGTCTTACACCAGATGGTACGATACTTCCCGAACGCAACCAAACACCATCAGGGATTTCTACCCATTCAGAAATCACACACTCATCTTCAATAAGCACAAAGTTTCCAACGGATTGGGCCTCAGAGACTACACGGCGTCCAATCACTGTCATAGAACCCACTATCACAGGAGTTGATTCTGCTACACTTCGATTTAACAAGGATCGCAATGGCGGACGCAAAACACATTGTTCGCGGAGAATAACTGCGTTACCTAATGTTATTTCAGCAATATCTCCACGAACAACAACCTTTTTTTCCAAGAGAAGCAACCCTATCGTTTTTACTTGACCCATCAGATGGGCTGTGTTGTGTGACCAATGTGAAACACCATCATAAATCAATTCATTTTTCTTATCGTACACAAGACCAGGAAACGAGGAAGATGTAAGCACGCAAGGTGTCCCTGATGTCATTAATATAGGTATGCATGATACCTCTTTGTAGCAAACCTCCATACTAATTTCTTATGTTTTTTTTTTTTTGTATCTATATTATATTTGTCGTTTTTCTCCCCTTTTCTCACAACTAAGATAAGATAAAACAACTGTAAAAAATTATCTGCAAACGAAATAAAAAATTCATATACCACATTTAATACAAACTTCCATTGTATAAATTTTCCAACCCTCATTCATTCCTTCACTTTTCTTTGTTTTTGTTTTTACTTCTTATATTATACAATGAAAAATAAAACAAACCATATGTGCAATAAGAAACTCCATAAAACAATACTGTTCCGTCAAAGTTTATAGCAATTCAATGTTACCAAGGATCGCTTTTCCGCTCTTCACGTGTGATTGCAATACCAGGATCTCGTAGTACCCAATGTCCACGGTGACGTGCTGGCACTTTGAGTGCACCTTCACGAAGTGGCTCAAACGGGTCTGGTTTGGGCGGGTGTGGTAGTTCCGTCGGCAGAACAGTTTCTTCTCTCTCTTCTAGAGAAGAGAGTAAAGTCATTTGTGTAGAGGCAGGAGTTTTGAAAACACCAGCATGACGATTCGTGCTTTGCCGCATACTTTGTTTCCCAATAATAAGATCTAGTTGCCGCATAAGGGGATCATCGTGAAGTTGGAAATACGACAAAGCACCATGTAATTTTTTAGTGTAAAGTTTTGCTACTGACAATGAGGAAGACATTGTAAAAGAAGGTCGAAATGCCTCAACTTCTCGTAGGAACTCACTCTCAATAGCGTGGCATGCCTTTTTATCACCTTCCATTGCGGCGTTTTTATGTGCCAAATGCAGTTTTATAAGTTGCAAAGCACCGTCTACAAATGGAGATGGATTGTGAAGAGCATTAGATTTCAGAAAAGAAAACTTTCTCAGCATGTCCCTTTCTCAAACACAAACACACAGAGACACAGAGAGAGAGAGAGAAAGATATGGAGATGAAGAGAGAATCCCCACGACTAGTCTTGATAACCAATGTATCTTCGCTTCTCTGTGTTACTATTTTTTGTTGTAAAGTAAAGAAGGAAAAAAAAACAAGAGTTGATCATCTTCTCATGAAATACTGCAGAAGGATTGTTCAGGGAAAACATAAAACGAAAAAAAAAGAATTCTTTACAAGAACAAGAGAAACAAACCTAGCACTAAGAGTATTATTCTCCGTTTTTCCCATTCGCTCTCTCTCTCTCTCACACACACACATACACACACACTCTATCACAGAAACAAACAAATACACACACAACTCCGTTCAACGTACACTATATGATACCCAATCACACAATATACCCCTCAACACAGGAAAGAAAGAGAGAAATATCAAATAGCTAGGAAAATAATAACAATAATAATAACAGCAATGATAATAATTCACAGCAATATTAACACGTTTAATTATATTCTTCCTAGTACACTCCTGAAGGAAAACAAAAAATAAAAATAAAAATGTTTTTTTTTTTATTTTTTATGCTCCAAGAAAAAAAAAAAAGCGTCCTCTTCTACTATTCCCTCTGCTGAAATAGCTGTACATGTGTATAGTATTACACAAACCATCAAATCCTGTAAAATATTTTTGAAATATCCTTCATTCTCATCCAAGCCTATCAATCTATACACCCCCCCCCCCACTTACGGGTCACCTGTGTAACCCATTCTCTTGCTCTTCACGATCTTTGGCCACTTCTTCCACTTCTCCTGGCGTGATACATTCTTAAAGGCAGCACCACGATCGTACACTCGGTCCTCGTGTACATAATCTTCAGGTAATAATCCTTCAGATTTCCATTTTTCAATTTTATCTTTTACTATATCGTCAATTTTTGCATTTGGATTATGCACACTTGAACCCAAAGTTGATGGATTGTAATCAAAATACAGTTGACGTGGTGAAAATTGTCTTGGAGCTCGAATACTACTATGCCAGCAAACGTGATAATACATTTTATCATTCTCCTTAAGGGGAACTCTTAGCTTCCCTGCTCCATGACCACGAAGATCAGAATATGTAATGCGTAAAAATTTCACCTTGCGTTCCCCAAAGTTAAAAAGATATTTTTTAATGTATTCGTAAATAATATTATCGTTCACAGCATTAAGTGCAACGACAATAGATCGAGCTTCTACTCGATCCAGATCAGCTTGAACATCTAGCATCTCCTCAAGAATCAGTCGAACCCCTTGCTCATCACCCAAACGACCCACACTTTTTAAAAGAAAATTCCATTGAGCGGTGTCAAAAAAGGGTGTATAGTTCCAGCCATCTTTTAAGCATTTTTCAAAAATAGGTTTCCAATTATTGTGATCTATTTTACTGCAGTAGAAAAGAATAGCTTTAACCAAAGCAAGTGGTGGTTTTGCTGTAGAACCATCAGTCATAAAGCGTTCATGACAATACTTCTCCCATAATGCCATGGCCTCTCCACTTCTATGGAATCCACAGTGTTGAAGTACCTTTGCCAACCAAAGATCTCTCGTCAATTCATCATCAATAAGGTGAGCTGAATTAGTGTAATCCGCGATAACCTCCTCAACAGGAGTATTGGGCATCGTACGCCCATGTGGAAGCTTACGTAGTTGTGGTTCCAAGGCCACTCGAAAAACGGGATGCATATCGAGTTCAATCCACACACCACGATACTTGTTGACAAGTGAATGAGCACTCTGGTAGGGAGCCGACATTGTTCGGTTGACCGCATGTGGTCGTTCCATTCCCTGTGGAAGATTGTAATGCCAATGATACTGACTGTACGCAATCATTGGTGAGGTGTCCGGATTTACAGGCGTGTAGCCAACGGCTCGCTTGGATGTTCGCCGAAGCATCGGCGCCTATAAATTAATTAACAGTAGCAGTTGTACTCTCTCACTAGTTGGGGCACGTTCTGTTTACCCACAATGATTCAAAAGAAGAAGAAAAAACAAGGTTCGTAAACCTCTATTAAAAACAGTCAAGCCAAAAAAAAAAAAAACGAATATCAAGACCTTTAACAGTAATGGGTGAATGTGAGGAAATGAAGAAAAAACAAATAATGGAAAAAAAACAAAAAAAAAAAAGAAAAAGCGAAAGAAAAAGACAATATTTGATGAAAAACGGAGGTAATAGCTTACTGTGGCACTTTGTTGTGACACTTTTTTTTTTTCTTCGCTGTCACCTCCATTCACTTTCCACACATTGGATTCCCTAACGTGAAGAAACACAAAGAAGATTGCCAATTCTTATCAGTGACTCCTTCCTCTACAGTTAACCTCCACACTGTTGTGGGAGGTCACCTTAAAAAAAAAAAAAAAAGGCAGTTTAATTTGAAGAATCTCTTCTCAGGTTATTTTCATTCATTATAGATCTTTTAACGGTTCAATTTTTTTTTTTTTTTTGATGTTCAAAAGATCAATTCAACAAATGGAGACGTAAGCAATCATGACACCCATGCCTTTTCTTCCTCTTGCTAATATTATAGCTGCGTATGTGCGGTAGCGTTAGTTACGTGTTATGGTATCAGCGCTTCCTCTGTCGGTTTTCCCAATGCGTCGTTCCGCTCTCCTTTCTCTCTCTCTCTTTACTCATTTCCTCTCGTTTACCATGCTACGTGTCGCCTGAGAGAACTATACCCTACCTTTCTTTCTTTTCTTTCTCTCTCATTTTGCATCCACCTCATATTCATCTCCCTTCTCTCATTTCCCGCCACCTCTAGATGAACCCTAACGCCTTATACAAGCAGTCTATCTATCTACTTTTTTTGTTTCTTTGTTTCTTTGCTTTTTGTTTTTTTTTTTGTTTTTCTTCTCCCTCGCTCCCTCAATCCCTCTCATTCTTTCTTTCTGTATTCTCTTCTTTTGCTCTCATTCCTTTCATCCCCAACCCCATATTTCCAAACTATCTATTCCGGCGAATGTAGCAGTATGCACCAAGAGTAGGGACTTCAGTCTCCTTTGGCCCAGCAGTTTGTACCAAGGGCAACACCCGATACCCATCACGCAGAAGTGCTGGAGGAAATGCAGCAGTAAAAATAGATGAGGCGCGTTTTTGTGCGAACTCACAATCAATCACTGCTACTGTTGCATCGTTACATCCTTTAAAAGTAAAATTATTTCCATTCACCCGAGCTGAACCTGCGCCATAGACGTGAACTTCACCTTTTGTTAAACCAGGTTCCTGAATTTCTTGAGGGCCAGCAATGATTTGTACCGTCGTATCTACGGTTCCTTCCTCTTCTGAATCACTTTTTATGAGATACCCACTGTGTCCATTATCCACAAAACGTCCTTGTGCCCACATTTGACCCTTCCAACTATTTCCATAGTTAATTAATTGCATTCCCATTTTGGAGGCGATGCTGATACAATTCACATTGTCGATATCTTCTTTGTTAGAGAAAAAAGCGAAGTGATCATCAAGATCCTTCCTAGAAAGTTGTGCCGTTCGAATAGTCTTCTCTGTGAAGACCTGAATTTCCCAGGGTCTAGGTTTTTCACATTTTGTATACTTTAAGAACAGAATATTCGATAGGGCAACAGATTCCTTCTTATCCTCTGTATCAACAGTACCTCCAACCACTACCTTAACCTCATTTAGGTTTTCCTTCCTTAACGTAAATTCTTCACCAAGATTAAACTTTACAAGGTGCTCACGTAGGTGTTTCTTGCTTAGAATAGGTAAACCATTTATATGGGTCAACCAGTCATCCTTGCATAAACCGGCTTTAGAAGCTGGAGTTCCTGGAAGAACATCTGTTACACGCACTCCCAGTCCTTCCTTATTCATATCTGCTACCAAACATCCAACAAATGGTTTTAAGTTGCATTGATATCCAGCAATAAGTACTTTATTTCGTTGAGCAGCAGGACTGAATTTAGGATCACTGATAATGGCTCCCTCAAACATAAGACCTTTTGCCAACATAGCTCCAAGACTTTCTGTTAGTTTTTGGGCTAACTCATCTTTCACTTCCACTGGAATTTCATCTGTTGGAGACAAACAAAGAATTATGGGATAAGGAATAGTCAAAAAACCACTTTTTCTTATACCTTCTAGAATAGATTGTAGTGGGCATTTTCCGCTATAGAGAATACCATTTTCACCTTTTCGAACCCTCAATACAAATGCTCTAGTATTATCTGCCAATGCACGCTTAAGATCATCTTCAGTTTCAATTTGTGTAGTATTGATTAGATATCGAGTTAGTGGTTGTGTCATATCTTGCCAAACATCTGTTGTGCGTGATGGATCCAAGGCATTATTGGTAAGTAAACTTCCCGTGTAAGTACTGAAATTGAATCTATGAACAACCCCACCAAAACGGTATTTACACTTTTCCAGTACCTGAAGATCTGTTACATCATTACGTTGCTCTTCTCGAAGAAATTTTCCAAACTGTTCTACAGTCATCATATCCCCATCTCCCGCATATTTCTCATATAAACTCATTGAATGTACCAGTTTTGCTGAACAAAAGTAAGAATTTAAAACACTAGAAAAGTCATTCGTAGTACTCACACCATTGTTATGACCTTTAGTATTAGTCACCATCCGCTCAGCGGTCCCATCTGTATGTTTTGCGAATCCTGTATTTTTATTAAACCACGCGTTAAGAAGACGGGCAAAACCGTCATCGACGCAGTATTCAGTCACACCGGGGAGAGCTTTCGAAATTGTCTCAAGTTTTAATTCATTAGCAATTTTTGTAATGATATCGAGAACAACCTTTGTCTTCAATCGAAACCGGGTGCGCGTTACTTCTACACATGTATTCACAAAGGTCAAGGAAACATTATACCGTTCCGCTGATGATCTAAATAAGGAAGTGGCACTTAGAGTTGTTTCCGCCCCCTCAAGAAATGAACGCAGGTACTGCTCCGCTAAAACCTGCTGATCGAAATTCCGTGGAGAATGAGGGGGGTTCTTCTCATCATTCTTCCTATTTATTTTTTTTTCTTCATGGCATTCTTTAGAGCGATGATTATTATGATTCGCCTTGCCGACGGGCTCTTTCGCCTGGCAGATACCCATTGTTACAACCTTAGCTAGAATAACATTCACATATAAGACACAAAAAGAAAAGAAAAAAAAAGAAAAAAAAAATACATTATTGTTGTGTACAGTTTACAGGGTCACGAAACCCTAACTGTGGATACTGGCCTCACTCTACATACGTTTTATATAAATATACTAGGGAGCAAATAACATATTTGAAATCAGAAAAAAATCTTTTTGAGTCTTCCTCTACACTTAACCGGCCTTACCAGGGGGTTGCTTGTTCATGCGGAGCTTCTCACCGGCCTTCAGTGTCTTCGCAAGGTAGCGTTGTGTGTACTTGAGGCGCTTGAACGCACGGCCACGGGGCTGCTTCTTCTTTTCCTGCTTGGCGACCTTTGGGGTCTGGTTCTTCACCTTACCAGCACGAGCCAATGAACCGTGGACCTTACCCATGTTTCCTCTAGTATCCCGAGAAAAACTCTGTAAATGAGATAGAATAAAATAAAAAGAAAAGAAAAGAAAGGAAAGAAATGTTAAAGGGGTATGTACTCATACACAAATAGATATATAAACACATCATTGAATGTTCGCATAGAACGTAGAAAAATAAGAAAAAGTATGCTGATCAATTCATCTTATAAAAAATTCTACCATGTGGTAAAAAATGGAATAAAAAGGAAAATGATATTAATTGTTTCCTACATCTTAACCGGCCTTACCAGGGGGTTGCTTGTTCATGCGGAGCTTCTCACCGGCCTTCAGTGTCTTCGCAAGGTAGCGTTGAGTGTACTTGAGGCGCTTGAACGCACGGCCACGGGGCTGCTTCTTCTTTTCCTGCTTGGCGACCTTTGGGGTCTGGTTCTTCACCTTACCAGCACGAGCCAATGAACCGTGGACCTTACCCATCTCTGAAACTTAAGAAACTATATTGTGTTAATGAGAATAGGAAGGGGAGAAAAAAATGCATCAGAACCACAGACAGATGAGAGTTATTCGTGTTTGCAACAGTGTCACGAAACTGCATAGAAATAGGCAGACAGATAGAGAGAGAGAGAGAGAAAGAGAGAATGAGAGAAAGAAAGACATACAAGCATATAAACACACAGTTGTTAATCTCAAGTAGTCTCAAAAAAAAAAAAAAACTTCCAAACATGATAAGTCAAACTGAAGTATTACAGCGACCATCACAAGTGAATATAGGCATGAAAGGAGTAAAGGAAAACATAAAACATGAAAAAAAAAAAACCATTAATCTGTACATTGGGTATTCACCGCATAGCATTCAACCATTTGGATGAACATGGGGTGGGAGCAAAGGAAGGTGGACCAGTAGCATAGTGTCTCCTCGTCATAATAGGTTTTTCATCATGTGGCAAATCGAACATAGTGTACGGAGACGTAGATGCTAAAGCTCCTTGTGGAAAATGGTTACTTTGTTGCATATTTTCAGGAAGAACAGACCTTTCCACTTGGTCGTTAACTGCCTTGTACGACCAGAATGGCCGCTGGTAGGGAGTCAAAAGAGCCGGAAAAACTCCTGTATAGGTGTCTTTTGTTCGATAATAAGACTCCCAAAGAAGCTCTCTTGTTGTTATATCTTCATCAAGTTGGTCGTTAACGTTGCTTCCAGTGGTCCTAAAAGTTTTTAACGAAGTATCTTTCTTCCATTTGGTTGAAGATGTAGTGGATTCAAACGCAGGTCGTAGTTCACCTTTTCCTTTAATTGTATTCTTTGGTGACAGCCCATCAAGTTTCTGTATCGCCTGACCATCAGGTACTGAAGCGTTTGTCTCCTGTGAAACAGCTTGTACTTGCGTTTTACTTGCCGCTTTTACTTTCACAGGACGGAGACTTTTTGAATTCTTCTCACTATTATTTGGAATACGACTCGATTCTGCCTTTAATCGCAACATATTGAAGTATTTCTGAGAGTATTGGGTTCCAAGAAGCCACTCATCAAAGGAATCCGGTTTTTCAAGCGCGTTGAGTAGGTTGTCCCGAGCTTCAGTACCCATGAATGAGGGAAGTAATTCTATTTGCCAAAGAAGAGAGAAGCTAGAAAAAAAAAAAATAAATAAATAAATAAATAAATAATAATAATAATAATAATAATAATAATAATAATAATAATAATAATAATAATAATAATAATAATAATAAATAAAAACAGTGTAAAAACAAAGCAATCAACACATGAAAGGCATTTAGAGAAAAAAAAAAAAAAACATATATATACCATAATTCAGGCACCGAAAGCAAAGATAAGATTTCACACGAAAATAAAAATAATAATAAACGCTTGTAAATAGGGGGTGGAAAGTTTATGAAAAGACCAAAAACGTAATACACAGAAATTAATGCGGTCCCTTTCCATCTCGCATCATCTCCATGAGCTTTAATTCATCACTAGTTGGTAGATTTTGCATTTTTTGTCGTTGATCAAACATCATCTTCGCAATAGTCGACTGAGCAGTTTCATCTAATTCAGAAACGTGTTTACTGGGAGGCTTAAAGGTTTTCATATCTATTTGTCTTTCACCAATCGTAACACAAGGCCACCACTCCTCATACTGAAGATTCGTTTTCACTAGAGTAATCACCAGTGTTTTTTTGTCTTCAATACACCATGTACACTCACTTGCCTTCACAGGCTTGTAAAGTTCTCCGGAAATAAGAGGTTCTTTCCCTTTTATCCCTACAGATATTTTGGATGTCAAAATTTGCACAGAAAGCATCTTTCCAGTTGTTCCTTCTGGCAGAGGAACCGTAATAATTACCTCTGCATCATTTTGGCCAAAAGAATATGAATCATAATCTCCACCACATTGTTCATTGCAGGGTATTAGATCTGTCATACCTTCTTGACTTTTAACAAGAGACATGGTGACTATCACTTAGTACTCTCCCGAAAAACTGTTATATGTGCAGTTTCATTATGAAAACGGAAAGAAAAAAAAAATATATTAGAAGAAAGAAAGCAAACTCCAAAGTATTCCCCGTAAATGTAGCACAGGATACTTAGATTTTATCTTATAGCAAAATCATAATATAGATACATATACACTAATTTTTTTCATATTCTGTACAAGGGTTTAGTTGTCACTGGTGGCGTATGAGGTGGACGTCTCTGTACGTCATTAAGCAATTTTTCTGCTCGTTGATGCTGTCTTTGTGACTCCAGATGTGCAAACTCATACAGTGAAACCACATAAGCAGTACGTTCACATCGACGCATAAAGAAATCATTATCAATTTCTCCCACAGAATGTTCTTTCAAAATAGGTGAAGTTGTCACTTTAGGATTATTAAAACTACGATAATCGACATTCAATGATACAGGAAGAGGCAAAACTTCTTTACCCTCTATATTGGAATCACTTTCTAGTAAAAACTTACCAGGTCTCAACGCAGAAACGTCGTTTCCCTCATCTCTACAAATATAATCATTACTAGATTTAGATATGGGTATATCCGTTTTTAACTCTTTTTCGGATGAATTTGGTCGTAATACAAGATTATCTTCTTGATTATGTAAAGGTACCTGAAGAAAAGAAGACTTCAAAGGAATTTTTTCTTTAGACGAAGAACCATGAGGCAATTGAGTAAAGCTATCTAAATTATCATTCTTATTTTCTCCAATATCTTGAGCTACTATGGGAAAAGTACCTACAGCGTCAGACTCCGGAGTGAAGTCTTTATGTTGATCTTGTTCGTATTGCACAGTTTCATTCTTTTTAACAGTCTCCAAAACCTTTTCTACAATAGGAGGTTCTTTTTTACTTAAATATATAAGACCCCCAGTAGAGAAGCCAAATTGTTTCCATGTGTATTTAAGATGGATGGGTCGTTCATAGTCACACTTTCTTCCATCTCTAACATGATATAGCTTGTATTCTTCCATCCGTTTTATCGCAAGCTTTTTCATTATGTTAGGGAGTGAAGCTTTTACTTCATCGTCTTCTCGTACACTAACAAGGACCTTGTCTTCTGGTATCCAGTTATCGCCTATGAGTCGAATAATCATTATATCTATTTAATAAATAAATATAATAAAATCAATAATAAAATAAAAATAAATAAAATAACATAGCGAAAAAAAAAAATTTGATTTTTAACAGAGAAAAAAAAATTTTTTTTTGAGAAATCACTTTATCAGTGGTCTACATACTAATTAAAATAACAAAAAAAAAAAAATAAGTTACAATAAGCACCTCTAACTCATTAATTGAATTTCAACTTAAGTAAGAGAAAAGAAAACACTACCATAAACACCATAATTAACTTGATAATCTCCTGGAAGAGCGGGAGACCGCGAACCCACTCCACTACAAAACACATAATGACCAGTACGAAGAGGTTTCCCAATAGAAACTGCGTAACTTACCGCTAAAGCAACTGCCGCACTTGGGCTTCCAAGACAATTCTTAGCAGAACCAACCTGAAGAGGTTCATTTTTTCGAGTCAGAACAAAGTGGTGACCACCTAATGTATCCAAAGAAGTTTGATCAAGCCTTGTTTCCCCACCAAGACTCAAAGCGATACATCCACCCAAATCTGCAGCAAATCCTGTTGAATGAGGTGGATAAAAAGGAAACCTTGATCCAGTAACCTCAATACCAGGAGAAAAGATATCGCATACAGCAGGAGCTGCATGAACTGATACCTGTGATGGAGCATCACACCCTAAACGCAAAACAAAAAGTGGTTCAACGTATTGAACTCGATGTTGTTTTATTGATAATGTAGAATTCTGAAATGCATTAGAAAAAATTGGCATACAAACAGCATCTGTCGATCTAAGAGACTGTAATGCTCCTGCAGTAGGAGGAACTACTTTTATTCCCATAAATTTGAAACCATTATCCTGCATTACTTCACACAAAAGAGAGTGAAACTCCAAAAGATCTTTAGAATTCAACTGGTGTCGCGGAAGAATTTCACTAAGAGCGGGTAGTTCTCGATCAGCATTTTGAAGATAATCCATGTAGCTCTCAACCGCCGCTTTCGAGACAGTCAACAACCTCCACGTTCGAGAGAACATATTCTACAAAAATCTCTAACAAAAAAAAAAAAAATAAAGGTACGTAAATAAGTAAATAAAAGAAAAAAAAAAGAAAAAAAAAGAAAAAAAAGAAAAAATAAATACTAAAGTATTGATAACAGTTCAAGATGATAGAAGAAAAAAAGGGAAACTGAGAGAGAGTCAAGCGAGAAAAAGAGAAACATAAGATAGTTTCTGTTTCTCTTTTTTTTTCTTTGTTTTTAATAAGCAAAACTAAGATTTTTTCGCCATATTTACAAACTGACTATATATAGCCTGAAACTCGTCACCAGGATCTATTGTAGAGCCGTGTACGGTAGATGCAGACGAAGCAAAGTTATATTCATTTGAGAGTCGCTCCTCCTCGGGACATTTTATAGGGGCGGGACGACCAAAATATCTTTTGGTTAATTCAGAAGAGTTATCCGGTGTTAGTTGCCTATGAGTTGCGTCTGAAGGGATAGAACCTTCACCACCATTTTCTGAATGTTCAACCCCGTTACTCTGCTTTACTTCAGGCTTATTAGCAGTTTCTGGATGGTGAACTGTTTTTTCATGATTTTTCGCTTTTGGTGTATCTCGTGACACCTTCGCCGTTTCGTGTTTGGATTTCTTCCCAAACAACCAATCGAAGAATCCTTTTTCTTTACGTTTTTCATTCCCTTCAGCCTTGTGTTCTTTCTTTTCCACCTTTGTGGAATGCACCTCTCCCAAATGACGAAGGCACTCTAATGTTCCAACACGGTCTCCTGATTTGCTAACAATAACATCACGAGCAACCTTTGGGTCTAGGTTTGCTATTAGGTTCTTCAGTTCTAACAGCTCAGTGACTATTACTTCATCTGGTTCATTCGTTGCGCCTACCAGATAGTGCCGAACAAGAGACGCGTCCATATCCATCATGGACGCATAAACCTCTGCTGGCTTCATTCTACTTGTGGCACTTGCAGAAAAGCAAATAAGCAAACGAAAGAAAGAAAAAATCAACATATTCCAACTTACTTTCATGTTTCCCACATTTTTTTTTCTTTTTTAAAAAAATAATAATAATAATAATAATAGTAATAATATATATATATATATATATATATATATAAACTATACTGTTTATAGGATTCTGTATTCCACTTAAAAAGGTAAACTTCGTCCGACACTTGGACGCGGTGAAGGTCCCATACTTTCAGCAGCCATTGACTCAGAGCGTAGCGTTCTTGATACAGTTGAAAAAGAAACATCATCTGGAGATGGTGAACCAAAATTACCTTCTGTCCTCCAGGCAAATCCCATTGCACCACCTCCAAATTCTGTTGCCAGTGCACGATCAAGCATATCACGGCAAAATGAATCAGCCTTTATACTCAAAGCCATATGATAGTGAGATATGGCAGCCTTTAGATTTCCCATTAAATGATACGTAAAAGCTAGTGAACAATGACCATGACTGGCGTTAGGACGACATTTCACATACAAGGTATGGAATGAAATAGCATCCTCATATAACTGTAATTTCCGACAAACAGTTGCTAAATTAAAAATAATACAATCTCGATGCTCTGAAGGGTTTTCTGGATTTGCAAGAGAATCATAAGCCTTTCGAAGAATCTTTAAAGCATCTTGAAGTCTGTATGTTTTCACACACAAAACACCAATTTCATTAAGTACAAGAGGATCATTTGGAATATTTAACCTAGCTTCTTCAAGAAAATAAGATGCCAATTTCCATTGATGAATTCGGCTATATTGCATCCCAACAAAAGTACTGCAACAAGGAAGACCTGGGAAATAATTCATAGCTCTTCTATATACACTTAATGCTTGCTCACCTTCTTCTAGTTTCGCATAACAGTGACCATATGCAATCCAAGCTTCAGCAAATGAAGCATCTAACTCTGTTGCTCTGCTGAAAAAACGTCCTGCACGTTCATAATTAGATAATGAAAAATGAAAACAACCAATCGCATAAACTGCTAATTCTGCATGTAATTTATTATTACATAAATAATGAGCTTGATCAAACAATTTTGAAGTTGCTTTCATATCCACAAGGATTGAAAGATGTAAACAAACAGCTTCTCTATTAAAAGGCATCGATTCTAATAATTCTGTTGTTAAAGTTAACGCTTGTTGTAAATCATTTTTTTCATATGCAATTGAAGCTGTTTGTAATTGTAATATTGTTCTTGGAATAAATATATTATGTTCCTGTGAAATTGATTCAAACGGTAAACGGGCTTTGTAAGAAGCACGGATAACTTCTGCCTCAGGTGGTAACTTTAATGATTCAACAAGTGTCCTAAGGTCACTCATGTTTAAAAGTCTTCTTTCAATTAAAGCATTCATGGGTTCCCCACAAAAAGGATCTATCTCTAAAGCTAACTGATAGTATTGTGCAGCTTTTTTGGTATCTCCAGATAGTTCAGAACATCTTCCCAAATAACACAATGCTATAACATTCATTGATGGGTTTTGTCTAAGCTTTTCTGCTAAAGCTGAACATTCCCTTGTATCACCCAATTCATAAGCTGATTTCATAGAAATTAAAATAGCCTCTGGATTTTCTGCTTCATAATTCAATACATCTCTTGCAACACGGATAGCAAGATCGTATTCACGAGCAGCAAATAAAGTTTTTGCATGTAAAAGCAAATAATGTATCGACTTTGGTTCAATTTCCCGTAAAATTGCAGTAATTGAAATGGCATTAAGGGGTTGGTCATTCTCTAAAAACCTCCTAGCATTTGACTCAAGCAAAGAAATACGCTTCATGTACAACTAAAGAAGGCTAACAAGAACAAGAAGAAGGTTTTTAGGTATAGAAATATAGCACAGTCAATACATCCAAGCAAGAAGAAAGAGATCAAGTATAGAACCTAGAAAGAAGAATAAAAAAACAGATAATAATAAGATCCAACATCCATCGCATAGAAGAATGAAAAACATGACTCTCCAAAATAAAATAATAATTATAATTATAATAATAATAACAATAATTATAATTATTATAATAATTATTATTACAATTATAATTATAATAATAACGAACGATCACCCATCACCAGAAAAAAAAAAGAAAAAGAAAGAAATTGCACTGTATGGCAATAACGGCCCCGCAGGGGAAAAAAAAAAAATTTCCCAGTAAAAACCAATCACTCACCACACCCTTCATTCAGACATCACCCCGCCACCTTGCCCAACCAGGGGGTCAAGAAAACCGGCAGGGAAGGAAACGAGGAGGAAACAAAAAAAAAAAAAAGCCACCCGCGGCCAGATTCAGGCATTCGGAATCCCAATACCCAAAAAAAAAATAACACAAGCCTGCGGCCCCCACCGCCCGAAAAACTTCCCCGGGGACCCGTCCCACTTCCGAGGGCAGAAAAAACCAACTCACCGCCGCGCCAAAGCGAAGGTAAACCTTTCGAACGCCTTTTAACCCGCGCCTCGGTGGGGGGAAAAACTGAAAAGCAGACAAAAAAATTGGACAAATTTTCTCCACCCCACACCCCCCCCAAAAAAAAAACCCCGCTTTCGCGATCGGCGCTCCCGCTAGGAAATCCCCCGAGCCCTCAAAAGAAAAGAAAAGAAACCCCCACAACCCGCGCACACGGAGACCCCGCAAGCAAGCGAAGCGTTGTATTTCAGTTTGGGTGCGGGGAGGGCCGGTTCAAACCCCCAACGCTCCGCCAAACCGCCGCCAACGCGCCCCGCTTCGGCGAAGGAATGTGGCGGACCCTCGCGGGGCGACGCCTTCCCATTAACAACCCAAAAATCGCCGGGGGGCGAACTGGAAAAGAAAATGAAATGATGAAGGAAAAAATCCTCAGAAAAACCTGTCGCGACCGCAAAAGAAGAAACGTCTCCTCACCAAAGCGGGGGCGCAAAGGGCGTCACCAAAAACTAAAAAATAAAAATAAAACAAAAAAAAACCGTAACCCCCCAGCCCTCCGGCCAAGAACAGGAACCCACGGCGGGGCCATTGGCAGATGATCGGGGGGTGATTTCGTAATTTCTTTTTTTCTGGGAGCATGCTGCCCCCAAGACGCGGGAACCAAAAGCATGGCTTTCCAGCACGTGCGATCGTCTCACATCTCTGTTTCTCTTTAGGGTTATCAAATTTGAATTCTTCAGTCCCAAATTAAAATCTCAGCCCCAATGGCGCGCCACCCCGGCACCTATGACGCCCACATTTCCCGCCAAATCCCATGGGATCGCGTGGAGGGGCCCGGAAATTAACCAGATCCCCTTCGAGAAGAAGAGCTGGCACATACGTTTTCAATAATAAAAAAGATTATTTAATTTTTACAACGGAGAAACGTTAGCTATTCGTATACATTTCACTTGATCTCTTAAATGGTACTTTGGAACGCCATTGAGGAGATGTTTTCAAAAAAAAACCATCAATCGGCAGAATCCAAGAGAAGACACGACGCCAGAGCAAGGAACCACAACACCACAGACACACAAACACACACACGCGCACACGCCACCAAAAACACTCGCCACACTGCTGGAAATGCAATATGGCTTTGCATGGGAAAATCCACCCAATCTCCATCGCAACGTTCCCATTCGTCGCCAGGGTTTCCCGGCGCGTGGCATTAAAAAATGTTGGTTTGATTCGACAAATGACTGAGTTAAAAAAAAAAAACACCTTTTGTGCAAGAAGATTTTCCAAAAAAAATAATAATAATAATAATAGAAAGGGGGGCTTTAGACACGCGGGTTCTGTATAAACGCCTTGCTTTTAGGATATTTGATGGAGGAATGGGAGGGCATCAAGGGTCAGTACCTCGCTTCCCTGCGTAGGGGAAAAGGTTGACGACGTATTTCTTCCAAAGAGGCCGCCGCCCCGCAAGGCGAAAATGAGACACAAAGCACCAAGAGCAGGCGTGCAAAGCTAGAGAAATCGGAACTCGAGAAAGGACCCTAAGGACCGTTCCGGCTGGCATTTGCAGCGTTTGCAATGGTTCCATTGGTGTTCCGCACCGCGCTGGCGAATGGCGTGGTGCAACTGATTAATAGATGTTCCAATCCCCACGGTGGGCATGGATTTCGCTACTCTGAAAATCGGGATTGGTATAGGGAATCCGGACCCCGCCATATCCAAAAAAAAAAAAATTTCCCGATCCTTTTTTACGCGCAGAACCCTCGTCTGCATAGGCGAGTTTCCTCGCCAGCTGCGGGCGGCGGCGGCCGTTTTGGTGTTTGAAAGCTCTGGGGGAAGTAATTAATCTCTACAGGAGTTTCTTTTTTTTTTTTTTTACAATGTCCAAATCTCTGGGGCGCCGGGGGTTGAAGGGGGGTGGGGTCCCGCGCAGAAGTCCCATAAGCCACTTTGCCCACGGGAAGCATGCGCGCCCCAAGGCCCCATAGCTGAGTTGGAACGTTCCAGATTGATAATTGTTTTCTGACACGTGTGAATCCGTGTCGCTTTCCTCTTCATACGCTCGGCATTCAATGGGAATAAAAGTAAAACAACGCCGCCGCCCCCAAGAGGAACCGGGGCCACGAAAAAGGAACCCGCACCCAGAAGCCCAAGCCCCAGCTCTAGTAAACTAATTTGCGCCACCAAGGGAACAGCCCCTGGAGAGCACCAGACCCATCCAGCGAAACATACGGCGCCCCATTCAAGAAAAATCTCTTGGTCTAAAGGTGTGGGGGGCCGGTTTCGGGGATAGGGCAGCGCCTTTTAACCCCCAGCTGGGGCCCAAAGTTCTCTCTTCTTTTTATGGGCACCGATCTCCCCCAGTGGGTGTGGGGAAATGGTTCTGATAAAATGCAGAGGATTGTTTAATTCTGGCGTAAAGCCTGGCGGACCCCATTGCGTATGAAGGCCGGCCCTTCATATATCTACGGCGGGCTCCTGCTTAATTCGCATGCTCCGCCCCATCGGCGCGACATTCTTCAAGTCAGTTAGGAAAAGTAAAAATTACCCACTCTTTCACCAAAGCGCCCCTCAAGTCATCCAATTCATACGATTAGAATATCGATGCGGTCTCATGAAAATAATATAATATTCTTCAAATGCACCTAGTTCTTGCACTGCCCAAGGTGGATATGATGAGTTATCCATCCCTAAGGGCAACATCCACTCCTTCATATCACACTTCATTCACTTACAGCCCTGTAGTTTAGCCCATGGTGATGCCATATGTGCACTTCACCGAGTGTAATCTGAATGCCTTCTCTTCTCTATCGCGGGCGGCAGGCCCCATAGAAACAACAAAATGTATATCAATTAATATATATTAACAGTTTTCACCATTATTCTTCTCCTGCAAGAGAAGAAGATATCCGTTGATTTTACCAATAGGAATCAATCGAGATGAAATCCAACAAGGCGCTATGAAGAAAAATCATGGGCCCTACACTTATAATATATGAATAATACCGGAACATTTTTGAGAATGTTGCTCTCGAAATGGAGGCTGTTGGCCGGAAAAGAGTGATAATCAAACCCATTTCTTGCGGATAAAAAAAATATATGTTATATCTTACGTCTTATATTTTCGCAATTGAAAGAGAAGAGGAGGAGGAAAAGTGTTTTCTATTTGTTTTGGTTTTTTTTTTCATGCCATCGTATAAATTAAACCCAACCCGCAATGAGTCCGTCAAGACAACTAGTTATATAATAGCATTAGTTACTGGCAAAATGGAAATTGAAAAACGTCTTTAAAACATCTCCGAGGTTCGGCCTTGAAGCATGCAACTCCACATCGATTCTGTTTTATTTCTCTGCAAAACTTCACCCACGGCAGGCGCTGCAAGGGCCAAACCTTCTGAGAGGATATGTATTCATTTGAAAGGCATGGAAGGAGAATTGGAGAGCTCAAGCCCTCTTTTGGAAAAATTCTCTGCGGCCCAACTTCCCACGCACTGACAGCAATCTTAACCTCCACTAGATACATGAACAGGAATACACTTCAACTGCACATGGGTGAGCCTTCACAACCAATAAAGCAGTAGTTAGCAACTTCAAAAGTGAACGGGACAGGGTCATTCCCAAAGAAGGGTTTAAGCCATTCTCTTCTCTTGGCAGTGCAGTGTACGTGGGGCAAACTCTGACCAACCTTAAGGCCCCAACGTCCCACGGGCAAGGGTTGACCATCGTCAACACATCAATTTTAAGAAGAGATAATATAGGAAAACGGGAATTCCTTTCCCACACCCAAATGGCGCACATCATATACGATGTGTCGTTACTTTCCTTTCCGCTTAACCGTCAATAATTAAAAATAAATGGCCCTCCTCTAATGTTGAAATGACCTTCTTACCTCAAAGAGAGAGTCTGTGGTTCATGATTGGACAGCACCCCGATAAAATCGTACATCTCGGTGAACGCCTGTTGTTCCTCTCCAGTTGTGTCGCTAGATTATTATATTCTCTAAAAAATACTTACTTTTCCCATATTTCTATCTTTTCCTTTGGCCCAGCGATGCGGTCATTGCTAATCCAACCATGAATATCCACTTCTGAATTGGCGGTAGACCAAAGTTTAATGAGCTCAGGATATCCGGGCAAACCACTTGTAATAGTGTGGGCAATTTCCGAACTACCGTTGTAAACTATGGGGAAAGGAAAAAGTTCCATGAAATAGCCCGATTCTCTTCAAGGGCTTTTGCCCTCTAATATTATCAGTTGAGAAAGCTAGAATAAGGGCCACTTCAAGTATAGCAAGGCCGCTGCTTTGCCTTACATCGTACCAGCAAGTCTGAGGAAGGAAACGAATAAAGCTTGCTCCTGCGGTAATTCCCCAGCCCTCTGCGACCTGCGCCTGCAAAAGGTGGTAATCATTCTATGATCGTGTTTTGGAAGTACTTTTTTTTTTATATTGATTGTTTTTTTTTTTTTTTTTTGCCCCGTGAGAAAATAATAGTTTGGCATTGCGTTATTATGCAAACGAATTTTGTACTGGGAATCCATGTTTCGTAATTTGTTTCTTTTCACTACAGTGTACAAAAATAAGTTTTTCAATGCCCACCCTCCCCGGCCCGTTCCTTCTCAAGCGGGGCGCGGGTTTTAAAGGCCCCTCATGTCTTTTATTTCGTCAGTTCCGTTATTTCATTTATTTCTCCTTCGTTTTCTTTCTTTTTTAAGGTGAAAGTATAGCTTCCACTATTCTTCTTGTATCCGCGAATGCAATTCTTTTACTCCCTCTTGGGGGTCGGCGCTTTGCTGCACGATACGGCGGCCCTAGCATCATCAGTCGTGATGCCCAACCTCGCACAGCATAAATTCCACTTAGGAAATAGGATCTCCAAATTGGCTTATTCTACTGAAAATATATTTTTTTCTTCCTCTGCAGGGTTTAAGCGAATATAATATGTTTATCGTAGAATGCTGTTCTTCTGCAAAAAGGAATGCATTCTGTTTTTTCTCAACTGCGGCTGTGCTTTGGCAATTCGGCTTGTTTCCACATCCGCTTGCACCAATGGTATCTTCCGAATTGGCTCATTGACGGTTCCAGTCCCACGCTTCTTTCGACAGAACGCGCTTGAAGGGGTAAATTTTGGACTCATACATTTGCAAACTTACGCCACTAATCGAGAATAGGGATTGTTTTAGATTATTGGCGATTCTTTGGCTATTATGCGCCCCCTTTTGGTGGAACAAAAGCCCCCTTTCTCACTGGGTGGCGGGTGGGGCTTTTCAACCGCCACCGCAGCCTTCTCTATTGGATTCTTCTTTGCCCATATTTATTCGCGATTGTGGGTTGTTTTTTCGTCCAACACCCAAAATCTATGGCGTGTCTTGCGGGCCGCCCTTGACCACCATATTGGCGCGCTCCAACCCTTCATTATGAAAGTTTTTTTGCGGGGGCGCGGCTGGGGGTGGGTGGGGGAATTTCACTTTGGGGGTTCAGCAATATCTTAAAGTGGCCTTTCGGTTTCCAGCAGCGATTTCTTCGACAAGGGTGCTGGTTTTTTTTTTTTTTTTAGGGCCATCCTGCTTTCGGGTCTGGGTTTCCATTGCAAGATGACTTGCCCAAGTTTGACGGTTTTTATCGAGTGAACAGCGTTCGGTGGCATCCCAAAAAATCTTGGGCCGGCATTTCGCCAGGCAACGGCGCGGCAAGCAGCCTGCTGATGGGGTGGGCGCCGTTGCTTTTGGCCAGTTGAACTCGCCGAATAAACGTGGAGATCCCCATTTCCAAAACCCCAGAGGCGCCCCCTGATGCGCGACCGCTGGTCTTATCGTTATGGGGCGTTTTCGTTCGCATGAGGGAGCGGGCCGGCAACCCCCACTTCCAACCAGAAGCCCTTAGGTTAAAGTGCCGCTTCGCGTGGGGAACGGGGCGCCATAGGAATCACCCTCACCCAAGCCAAGACGCCTCGTGGACTATGGCAAACCGCCAGCTCCCATCCCAGAGTGTTTTTTCTTACGGGGCAAACCCGTCACCCACTGGGCATTTCCGCACCCACAACCAAACGCACTGCCGTTAAACTGCCCTTTCCTAAAAGAATACCCTAGCCTTACTCCCCCTTTAAAGAAATAAAAACACAAGAGAAAAAATATTTTGTTTCCATGATTGTTCATACAAGTTTTGATGCATTATTTACATATCTCTATCAAATGTTTTCCCGATGATGATTGCCAATACATAACAGAAACTAACGAAATGGAAGTGCTGAGAAGCCCATTTAGCCCGCTTCCCGCTCGGGGCGGAGTGGGTTGGGTTGGGTGGGCTTTTCAGAAACTTACTGTTGGGCAGACTGTAAAGATAAAAGAAGTAGAATTTGGTTTACCAAAACCCATAAATCTGTAGTTCCAAAAAGTAAGGCTTTGCCATTCTTATCGCAAGCTTTCAAAAAAGATTTGGTACGGCACCCCATCTTTATTTTTTTTTCTCTGAGGCCTTTTCCGCTGCCGCTAGGGCGAAAGGACCTCCCGGCTTCTCTTGGTTGTGGGCTTGCGGCTTTGGTGGGCGGCGGCCCTTTTTTTTTTTTGACCGCTCCTAAAGGAAATGATCGGGTGTTACGTTAATAGGAATCAAATAGTGTATGGAATTAAATTTCTCTATAATGATTATTCTTTTTCACCCCCGCACTCTCTCAAAGGTTAGCTTCTGAAAAAAAGTAAGCGTATAAATAATGAAAATGATATGTATGATCCGTCTGTCTTACTTAAGAAAAGCGCGGTTGACCAACAAGCAGGTGTTCGCAGTTTTTGTGACCCATAACGGCCCTACGGCTTTTGCATTTGAACTTCGTCCAGAAGAAACTCTACATTTAAGTTATCATGTGGATGATTTGTTTACACTAAAAAACGACATACTTATGGTAAAAAAAGACCTAAATAGATCCATGACTGGGAGGACTTGCGTGCTTTCATCGTTAGTGCCGTTATGCCAAGGAAAACCAATTTTATACGTGGTTTAGAGGAAGCATACGCGCGCTAAAGAGCCAAACGGGCAGCATTGGAAGCAAAAGAATCACCATTATACCACTAGAAGCAATCTGCAGGAACGCAATTGAGGGACGACAGTTTTTAACCACAGGCAAACGCAAAGGTACAGGCCCAGGAAATGCAAAGACAAATTGCACATATTTGCCATTAAACCACGGACAAAAAAAATGGTAAAAACGCATTCGAAACGGCAAGTGAGTCAGAAACAATTTTGAGAAGAGCAAGTACAACTCGGCGGCAGCATTATAACACACTCGTTCAAAGAGAGATTCAGGTGATGGAATTGTTAAAACAAATAGGGCCTGAACGTCACAATACAAATGTAGCAGAAAAAAAATCCCGGAATGATCAAATACCAGCAACAAAACTATCAATCTATCAGAAAGCCCATGGAAATGGGATAAAGCATCAATGGCATACTGGACATGATATAAAATTAGGATTTCAGGGGAACACATGAACTCCGGCTCCCAGCACGAGCGAAAGCGCCAGGTCAGAAGAGTGAATCCGTACTTTTGAAGGAATGATAGGTTATTTGATGGAGACATCGCCACGCCAATTAGTGACCGCATGCCGGGAAAACTTTTTCCCATGCCAGAAAATCCTTTTCCAGATTATAACGAGGCATGGAATATGTTTCTGCAATAGAAACGCACTTTTCGTAATGAGAGGATGGCGGTGCAACAGATTCAAATGAGACGAGGGATTTGTACAGAATTTTGGATAATACAAACGGTTAGGAATCTTCCGGGGGCAGAGATGCAGGAGTTTCGGGAGGCCATCATTGGGCCTCAAAAAACAGGATGATACTTTTGCAGAGGTCGCCATGAAGTTGCAGAAGAAAAATCCAGGACCACCACCATCCAGCATGGCACGCTGTTTCAGTTGTGGTCGTATTGGACATCATAGCTCTGCGTGCCATGTCGCTTTTCAAAAAGAACCTTACAAGCCAAAAAGAGAAAAAAAAAAACACGATCCCAACCCGCGATTGCGAACACAGCTGAGGAAACACGAGGATCCCATGGAACTCCCACGGGGCAAGGTATGATATCTAGGCCATTGGGTCGCAACAATAAACAAGTCAGAGCAATGGACATCATTGATGCAAGACATTTAGAAAAATGGGCAGTGAAAAAATGGACCTTACCAGAATCCGTGAAACAAGAATGCAGCACCCCTTTTAAAGGAGACAGCGTGCTACAGATATACAATCGAACTCTGGTGGCGACAAAAGAAGAAGAACGATTACTGTTGCAATAAATAGGTGCTGGAACACTTACCACCAAATAGATTGGAAAACGCCTGAACGATACTGCCGGTGGGCCGTAGGGCCGAGGCGTGGAATAATATATGGAAATACGAAACGCATTTCAAGGAACGTGAATCCAATTTACGCATTAACAACGCTGATGCGGAGCGCACGAAGAAACCAAGCGTTATTCGAGCAGCTTCAACGAAACGTTCCTTTTTTGCCATATTTCCCAGCATTTGGATCTGGCTTGCGGCGCCGCCGCAACGGTAGTTGATTTAAAGGCATCGTTTTTCCCAGGCGCCCCTACCAGTTGATATGCAGGCAAGTTTCCTTTGCCGCGCTGATTTTGGGGGAACTAGACGAGTTCACCCGCCTTCCCATGGGCTATAAATGCAGTCCTGGCATTTTAAATACCATTGCAAGAGTTCAGACCGGCAATCCTTTATTGGTATTGCCGAAGCATATGGTACCCAAGGAGTTAAAAATACATATTTGGATTGCTCTTGTAATGGGACGCCGCCTCGGCGAGGCACACTAAAATCAATCACTAAATTTTTTCGGGATTTGGTTTCCCAAAAAAGCAAGTAAAAATTTATTTTAACACATGCGTTCCTAGGAATGCTATTCCCTTGGCGGCATTTGCCCATCGAAAGGTGGTGCCAAGCTCCATTACCTCTCATTCTTCTGGGGAAACCATGGCCGCTAAACTCCCTTCTGGAGCTGTTGCGGGTTCATAAGGTGCAAAACGTCATACACACCGGGGCCAGCTGCGTTGTGCTGGGGCAAAACTTTATCCAAGAAGGTCAGGGGTGATACACACAGCATCACGCTTTCTATGTTACTCTGGGTGGTCTTTTGAAGGAAAATATTGGCCCCTTCCACGTAAAAGGGACGCGGTAGAACCCTGAGATGAATTTTCTCTGGTAAACTGGCATCTTCTCAGAAAACTTTTATTCAGGAAAGAATACCCAGCAAAAGGGAACCCATAACTCAACCTAAAGGAAGAAATAAAACTCAAAAGTTTTCACACACGAGTCTTCCATCTGCATTTTTAAATTGTTGCGAAAGCAGTAGCGCCATTCTTCTCAACCTGTTGTCCATGGCTTGGGGGCCAAAAGAAACAACCCCGCCAAACCAAGGCAAACCCCACCCCAGAAGTAAAGTATAAGACCCTGTAGCTTACTTGTGCCGATGCGGAAATACTCTTGCGAGAATCCATCGGCGGTCTCTAATATCAAGAAAAATGGGTTAAGGGGATCCAGCAATCTCTGGAAGATCAAAGTTTATCGCCCCCGCCTTCGCCAGACACCTCGCCAGAATCACCGCCACCCACAACACCCCGGCATTCAGACCCCACCCCCAACTCCAAAAGCACAGCGCACTCATTTCCCTGCGGCTTTGCCCTCGCCCGAAGGTTATCGAGAGAAAAAAGGGTCCGACACGCCACCAGAAACACACATACACACACAGGCCCGCACACGCGGAGACAAGCACGCAACGAGGGGGGCCCTTGCCAGAGAGGAAGCGCGCAAGAGAGAACGAACAACCAATGGGAAAAAAAGGGGCGGCATTCCCCTAAAATAGGTAAGGTTTGGCGGCTCACTCTGGGGTGATTTTTGGGGTCCTGTACCCGATTGATAAGTCATGGGGATCCATCGCGCGACAAACCGGCCGCTCGGTTAACACCACCCCAGGGGGCACCAAGCCGCAAGTTTCTCACGTGGGGGTGTTGCCAAGATAAGTTTTGCGAGGCGTCGCGCAAAGAGAAAACCGCCCTACCAGGGTCAAAAACGCCGCCGTTTTTCAAAAAAAAAAAAAAAAAAAAAAAGGCCCGTTCCTCGAAATAAAGGGGGCTCGCGCGATTCTCGCCCTCCGGGGTTTGATGGCTTCGGTGAAGATCGGTGGGGGTCGCGTTTTGGACCCAACGCCCGAAAACGGTTTCTTAACCGGCCTTGGCGTGAAAACGCCGCGGTGCACCCATGGTGCTGCCTAGTATAATTCCAACCTTTCCTGGAGCCAAGTCTGCTTAGCACAGCATGTTCCTTTGCCCTTGGGTCCGAAGCCAAATCCCCCAGCATGCGTGCGAAACGAATCGAATTCCGCAACGCGCCGCGCCAAGAGGGCAACGACCCATTCCCAACCAAATCGGCCAATGCGGATGCTGTGAAGAAGCGCTCTTTCAATTATTGACTTCTCCTGCTCTTTACCCCTTCTGCGTTTCGCTTCTCATTAAAAACGTCCCCCCGTGGGATCTATATTTTTCGCAAAGGTCGGCGCCATTCTTTTAGGCAGAAAGGCGGGCATATCTCAAACCATCGGTCGGACAGGTGGTGCGCCTGAAGGCCCCAGGTGTGGCCCATTCCTGGTGAGGATGCTGGTGAACAAGATTAACTCAAAAATAATGGTTTCTGATGCGCTCAAAGAAAGAAACAGATCGCCATACACATCAAGAAGCGAAAAAAAAAAAAAAAACCGTTAACAGGGGGGGGGGGGGGGTTCCCGCTGCTTCCCTCTTCCTTTCAGCCCCCGGGGTGAACCGGACAACAGGAAAAAAAAAAAAGGAAACAAAAAACGCCAGAAGGGGTTTTGGGCAAAAAGCAAAAAAATCATCGTTTTTTTTTTTTTTTTTATGAAAAGGGCCGGGCTTTAGGAAGGATTCAGCTGATATTTCGATGTCTCATCTTTTTTTCTCTTCTTTTGCCGGTGCTGGCGCGGGGTTTCCGCCGGCGTGGTCCTGCATTGGTTGTTGGGGCTTCGGCAGGTTGCTTTGCGGCTGGGCGGAAGGGGTTCAGGCGCCGAAGGGCCACACCGTTTCGGGAAACGCCGGAAAATAGATTCCCCTGGCGCGGGTCGGGGTTCTTCGGGTCTCTTCCCTGTTTCTTGCCGCGTTGGGCGGTTGTTGCTGTTTTTTCCCGCTTCCGGGTGCCCTTTGGGGGTGGGCGGTGCTGGCCGGCTCGAAAACTTCGCCCGAACTTGCCCCACGGCGAAAGGACGGCGAAAGCACGAAAA